GTGGGTTCAGGTCTCTCTCCAGAAACATGAGCATGCAATCCAGGTTGATCCACCAAGTCTGGTGCTACATTCTTGGAAGCAGTCTCTTTCACATTAGGCATGAGAATTAGACCTCGTCTGCCCTCAAAGGAGGACATAACAGATCGCATGGCAACTTTGGAAGCAAAGGAAATTCTCCGGGTGCTGCAATTCAAACAAACATCACCCCACAAACAAACACACACACACATACACACACATAAATTGTAGGCTGGTTTGCCAAATTGCTGATTGCTGATCTTAACACAGAAACACTCTGCAGCCCATTGCCCTGTGCTGGTCCTGGCTTTATAACTGATGCTATCTACTTTATTGTTACAGGAAAAAGAGACACATAACAATTGCTCCCAACGAATTTTGGCATTCTTGCACACTGTCCTGATGAGTGCAATACGAAAAGCTTCAACAAAGTTGTAAAGAAAGGCTGGATAGGCTGGGACTTCTTTCACTGGAGCGTAGGAAGTTGGGAGATGAAACCTTATAGAAGTTTATAAAATCATGAGGGGATAGATAGAGTTAATGGTAGTTGTCTTTTCCCGAGGATGGGAGAATTTAAGGCTAAAGGGCACATTTTTTAAGGTGAGAGGAGGGAGATTTAAAAAAAGACAGGGGGGCAAATTTTTTACACAGAGGGTGGTTCGCGTGTGCAATGACCTTCTTGAGGAAGTGGTGGATGTGGGTACAATTACAATGTTTAAAAGACATTTGGATAAGTACATGAATAGGAAACATTTGGAGGGATATGGACCAGGAGCATGCAGGTGGGACTAGTTGGTTCGGGATTACGTTCAGCATGGACTGGCTGGATCGAACGGTCTGTTTCCAAGCTCTATGACCCTATAACATGCCTGTTTTTCAGCTCTGTACTACCCAGTAAACCATCAACTTCAATCTCATTTCCTTGGCCTTTCTCCGTAACATTTTGTTAATTATTCTTTCAACTACATAACCCTTTTTAAAGGAGTATACACTTCCTACATCACTAGCCATTCCTGGTAAAAGTTTGTTTGCCTGTCACCTTACCTTATGACCCTCAATCTTTGTCCTTTCCTCAGTAATTTGTCAACATATTGTATCATTTACTCTCTCTCAACTTCCTACAATTTTGAGAGTCATTATTGGATTCCCATCCACACCCACTCTCCTCCACTGAAATCCACAATCAACTTGGAGCTTTCTTTGGAGATAGTAGGAACTGCAGATGCTGGAGAATCCGAGACAACAAGGTGCAGGGCTGGATGAACACAGCAGGCCAAGCAGCATCATAGGAGCAGAGAGGCTGACGTTTCGGGCCTAGACCCTTCATCAGAAAAGGGTCTAGGCCCGAAATGTCAGCCTGGAGCTTTCTTTCCTGTCTATAGAATCCTATGATATTTTTGTGAGAAAAATTACCTGTTTTAACATAAACTAAGTTAACACTTCAGTTAATAACACAGAGTGTAGTTGGAGACTACCTGTTAATTGTTCACACATCAACATGTATGATAATTTTCCAGTTTAAAATCCTCGGACAGAGTCTGAAAACATAGTATCTATTTGATCATGTTGGGTTTGGATCTTAGCTATTTAACCCCTAACCTGGCCCTCTGAAGGTAGTGATCGGGTCCTCCCTGTGAGAGACGAAAAAAACTGCAGGTGCTGTAATCCAACGTAGACAAACAGGAGGCTGGAAGAACACAGCAAGCCAGTCAGCATCTGGAGGAAAGGAGCAGTCAACGTTTCGGGTATTATCCTTCTTCAGGGCTGGAACTGAAGAAGGGTAATACCCGAAATGTTGACTGCTCCTTTCCTCCAGATGGCATCCCTGTGAGAAATAATTATCTTTACAGTCTGAAGATTCCTGAGATTTAAAAATGGCCCTCTTTGCAAAGTGTTCAAGTTATACCCAGTGATATTAGTTGGATAAGAAGAGCAAGCTTGTGTTATCATTTTTGTCCCGAGAAGAACAATATTTCATTGTGAAGTATTGTTACCTTATATAAACTGTGATGGCCAACGCATGTTGAAATCTTTCTTTTATTTCATTTTCACACACTCAGCATTCACAAACACACACATACTCAACGTTCATGCTCACCCAGGCACACACATACATTCAGCGGTTACACACACATACAGTTATCGCACATGCATGCACACATACTCAGTGCTCTCATTTACAATAACACACTGTGATCACACTCATACACATACAATAATCTGACACACACACATACACATTTATACAGTGGTAGGTGGCTATAGGATGTCTCAACATCCGTTCATCAATGAACCACCTTACTACATTTTAGAAATGTGGTCACTGTTTAATGGAAACAGAAACAGGAAAAGTAATGGCCTGAATCATCCAAAAAGGCAGAAATCATGCCCTTTTTACAGCAGTCGCTGCTGCATACCATATTTGGTATACAGAAGGATGACACTGGATTGAGACGGGTAGGCTGGGTGGGGATTCAAATTGGGTTTGCAGGAATTGGTGAAGGGCAGAGGGGAGAAATGGACGGCTCAATGTGACTGATTGGGGTGCTCAGTGGTGAGTTGGGAAGGTCAGTTTTGTAGATGGCCAGTAGTTGGCACTAATTCAGAACCAGACACTTGTTTAGAGGGTTCTGGCTGCTGGAAGTTTCAAATTCCCAGAGAGTTAGCATGTGGTCAGTGGGCAGGGACACCTGGGAGGGCCCAATGTGCATCATAGAGGGTACAACCAGTTTCCAACAACCTGAAGGTCAGAGGGTCTGGGCTACTATAGATCCCAGAACCCACTTCAATAAAACACACTGTCCCGTCAGAGTCTCACTGCCGTTTGTATGGGTTTCACTGCTCAAACATTTGTTGTTACCTTTCCAGCGTCATAACAGAGACTACAGTTCATTGGCTGAGAAGTCAGGCAGAGACATTCTGAGCTGGGGAATGGTGCTACATAAATGCAAGCTTATTTTAAAAAATGGTCATCGAACATTGCTATCCAATTCCTTTCCAACCTAACCTGGCACATCTTTGTGACCTTTCACCTGCTGCTTGCCATCTGGTGGAAATGAGCATGTGCAAAGCCTGGAACACAGGGGCGGGGGGGAAGCTACCACCCTCTGGTGCTCTACTCATCTGTCCATGGGGGTGTGAGGGGGGTTCAGTGGGGTTGTGGCTCCAAAGGCAGAGCAACCCTTCCTGACCTTTGGGACCTCTCCAGGAGAAGGAGGTCCTGAAGATGGGCATTCATTACCCGCCCGGGGGCCTTATCTGGCAGCGTCTGGTGGACAGGCCGAACCATAGCTCTAAATCAGAGGGGGTGCGTGGGAAAGGTCAGGGGGCCCCTCACCCTTCCTGTTGTCTGTCTGATTTAATGTAGCCCTCACTGTCCCCCTCAACCCTGTCACCAATGAGCTGTGGCGGGACAACGTAAATTGCACCCTGTATTTGGAAAGTTGACGCTGTTTCAATGCAAAGCCCTTAATTCTGCTACCCTCCAATCCAATATAGAGAATTCCTACTGTGCAGAAAGAGGCCATTCAGCCCACTGAATCTGCACAGAGCCTCCAAAGAGCATTCCACCCAGACCCAGCCTCGCAGCCTATCCCCATAACCCCACATTTACCACGGCTCACCTGCAGAGCATAATGTCCAGGGAAGGGAAGGTTTGGTGGACTAGCCACGGAAAATGCAGGATAACGGGGATGGAGTGGGTCTGGGTGGGATCCTCTTCAGAGGATTGATGTGAACTTGATGGGCTGCTTCCACACTGTAGGAATTCTATGATTCACACCCCTGGACACTGTGGGCGATTTAGCATTGGCCGAGCCACCTAACCTGTACATCTTTGGACGGTGGAAGGAAACCAGAGCACCCCAAGGAAACCCACACAGACACAGGGAGAACATGCAAACCCCACCCAAAGGTAGATTCGAACCTGAGTCCCTGGTGCTGTGAGGCAGCAGTGCTAACCACTGAGCCACCGTGCTGCCCATTTGGAATAGAAGGCAAATAGGTTCAAGACGCTATTATGGGACAGAGAACGGAACGGAGAAGTGTGGACACTGAGATTGTTCGGATCAGTTAGACCTTGCTAACTCTGTCTGGTTCCTAAAACAACAGGCGTTATCTCAAGAGGGCATTATTCAGGGAGTGTAGGGGCCCTTCCGAATCCTGCAAGAAAGACCTTGCTATCCCCCCAGTCTCACACAGCCTTTCACCAACTTCTGGCGCTTAAATTGGATGCAGAGCAAGAGTCCACAAAGGGTTGGAGAATGTGGGGAGGGGGGGGGGGGGGTTTGTACTTGTTTTTCTGGTTTACGAGTCTTTCTGAAAGAAGCTGGGAAGAGAAGCTAATCTTCACCAAACACGTATGTTACATCAATAAATTACATGGTTTTGCGCGCAATTGTCAGCAGGCTCTTATCCAGAGCGCCAAATGTCCCCATCAATTGAAGCACATGTTTGAAAAGATAAGGCACACTCCTAGCATCATTGCTGGTAAACCCTGTGACAAACAACAAGCTCACTTGACAATTTGTACTTTATCTGTGCTGAGCAAGGGATATATCTCGAGATATACCTGAGCAAAAAAACTGCGTTGTTTTCTTTTATTTGCAACTCGAATGCATCGTTTTCTCCCCTTCCAAAGAGATCAGGTTCGGCTCAGAGCCAATTTATTTACATCAAAGTTAAAATGTTTGCATCTGTCTTCCCAAACGAAATATTAAACAAATCCATCCCACACTTGAGTGCTCAACTGGGAACAGAAGCACTTTAAGTGGGATGTTTTATGCAGTCAGAGTCATTACAGAACAGAAGGTAAGCCATTCAGCCCATCAATCCAATGCCACCTCTCCACATACCAACTCAATCAAGCCCATTTCTCTCTTCTATCCCTGCAGCCTTACAAGTTTAATTCACGCATGTTCACCTTGAAATTATTAATCCTCACTAACAGAGTCAACCACATGTTGGCCAGGCCAGGTAAGGATGCCAGATGAAAGCGTATCAGTAAATCCAATGGGCCGTTTTGACAATCCACTGGTTTTTCTGATCAACATCTCATTCCAAATACATCCAACTATTAGAATTTAAATTCCTCAAGGCTGCCACAGTGGGATTTGAACTCACCTCACTCAGATTATTAATCCAGGCCTCTGAATTAGTAGTCCTGTGACCTAACTGCTATGCCACCATATTGGAAGCCATAACTGGAAGTTGTTGCTTTTGGTGCATAGTTAATGAATGAACCAGCGCCGGGCTGGCTCAGGAGGAATGAGAAATATCTGACAACCTTGAACGCCAGTAGTTTACCGCATGTCATATCTTTTCATCATGAACAATGTGGATTCAAGCCTTACTTCTGGAATCTAGGTTGATTCCCCGTGGCAGGACATATTGAGTTGGAAATTGGACTGCTCCCATTTTCAGGCAGGTACAACATGTTAGGATTTGCAATGATCCCAGGCCCGGACCCTTTGAGGCTGCAGCACAGACTCTTCAGCTGCGTAATTTCAGTCAGAAACCCACTGCCAAATGCAGTGCACCCTCTTCACCCAGGCTACCCCTCATAAAGGCAGCCTGTCTCTTGGGGAAAGGGTGGTTTGTGCTCATTGCAAGGAAGCTTCCATTGACTGTTGCCGCGGGAGCTGGCTCCAAGGAGAAGCAGCCGAATCACCTAGGGGTAGGGGGGAAACTTCCCCAAAATTTCCAAAGTGGTGTTGGATGCATAAGTACAGGAGTTCAAAAGGAGAAGCGATATGTTTCCTCAGGGGACTAGGGCTGGTGTGAAAGGAAAAATTGAGTAGAGGATGGCAGTATGTGCTCACTTTATTGAGCCTGCACGGAGGGACTTGGCAGTGGAGGGGAGGTCACAGAAGTTGAATGACCCGATGTGGGTTATGAAGGTCAGTAGCAACATCTTCAGGTTATTCGACAGAATGGTTCTAAGAATGAGGAACTTGGGTTACAAAAGTAGATTGGGGATGTTGGGAGAGTTGTTTTTCTTTCTGGAAGAGGTAAAGGTTGAAAGGAAGTTTGATAGAGGTGTTCAAGATCATGAGGGGGCTAGATGGAATACAGAGGGTAACTATGGATCGAACTTGTGGAAGGCTCAAGAATGATGATGGAGGGGGAAGCACAGATATCATTTTATCGGCAGAAGGAGTAATGGGCGACATCAGGGCAATCTTTCCCAGGTCACCACCTACAAGATCCCCCACCCGAGTCAGCCACTATCCTGACTTGGAAATACATCAACGAGTCAAAATCTTCCTTAAAGGGCCATTGTCAGTGCATCTATACTCCAGGGACTGCAGTGGTTCAAGAAGGCAGCTCACCACCACTTTCCCAAGGGCAATTAAGAATGAGCAGTAAACGCTGGCCCGGCTAGAAATGTCAACAATCCATGAAAGACGAGGAAAATGATTTGACAATTCCATTTAAATTTCAATAAGTAAATGCCTCATTCAGTCACTTTGAAAACCATTGCACGTTTCAATCAATGAGGGAAAAATCACATGATATGTTGGGGCTGCTTAATTATTCAGCAAGTGCAGAAATATAGTTTTGGGTCACAATATTTAAATATTTATGCTGTAAATCTCCCAAAGAGGCAGCTGCTTCAATCAGGTGATAAAGAAGTCATGCTCGCACTGGTTACAGAACACCCAGCCTGTCTGACAGCCTTTTGCTCACAGAATAGTAAATTACATCAAAAAAGTGAATTATGTTTTCTCTCAAAGTGAAGGAGCATGGGAAGGCAATTCTACCCCTCCAACCGACCCTAAAATTGTCAATAAATTAAGAGATGTCTTTGGTTTGTCAGATAGAGTCAAACTCCAAAGCCTGTTTTGTTTCACTGATATGCCAATATACAGAATCGAACTGCACTTGTGATTATGTACATTTTTTTAATGGGTAAAGAAAGGATACTTTTTTTGAAAAAGAAAATAAATTGCCAAGTCGCATTTCACACTATCCACAGAAACAGATAAAGTAATAAACATTTTTTAAAAAAAGGCTTACTTTTGTCTTCCAGATTCATTGATCTCGCATTAAGGATGGAAGCAGTGCCGAATACGAGGAGGTAAGATCCTATTTTGAGATGGCAGTGGAGGTGAATCATGCTGTGAGTTTTCCCAGTTGTGATCCCGAAATGTCGCTGACTGTTTCTGGAGGTGTTCTCAGACCAGCAACTATACAGACACACACACACAAACATGAAGCTGATTTGCAAACCTAAGGGGACTGGTGGAGGCGGAGATAAAGGCACTGTCCCTCCCACCCTGTTACCCAGCCCCTCAGAAAGATTTGGATATACCCGCCCTCCCTTACGATTGGACAAGCCACCTCTCATCTCTATTGGAAGCCAACATGATGGAGTCGATTTTTCAAAGTTTTCTCAACCGTTTAAAGTATTTGTGCTTTTCACCATTTTACAGGAAGAGGGCAGTGGTGGAAAGTGAATTTCACGGGGGGTAAGAGCAGAAATAAGATAGACTGGAACCAAATGTTGGCGGGGAAAGCAGTAGCTGTAGAATGGGCTATTTTCAAGGAAGACACAGTTGGGCAAAGCCAAGAAATATTCCCTCAAAAAGCCAGGACTATGTGCTGAGTGATGCACTAACGCTTGGGGCAGCTGCTGCCAAAACACGGTGGAGCAAGAGGTCTTTCGGCCAAAATACAATGACGGTCCATTCAGTTTTCGGACCCTCCCAGTGCCTCAAATGCATGTAAATTACAGTCTGGTTCAAGTAAGAGAAGCCTTTGGTTTGTTTGGATAGAGTCAAACTCCAATGCTTGTTTGTTTCCTTGATATGCTACTGTACGGAATCAAACTGCGTCTGTGACTATGTACAGATACAATGATTTTTAATGAATAAAGTATATTTTTGAAATAAAAAAGGGACAGGGGAGGCCAAACAAATCCAGAGCTTCCTGGATGACAAAGGAGACAGAGGTTAAGCAATAGAAGAAAACGTTGTGCCCGTGACAGGTGTCAGGTAATGTGTACAGTCAAAAATAGCTGAGGGAGCAAAGGAAGGTGAACAAACAAATACAAGAAGCAAAAAGAGATTATGAACAAAGACTGACAACTAACATCAAAGGAAATCCCAAAGTCTTTGATAACTGCATCAGCAGCAAAAAGGTTGGTATAATGAGGAGTATGACTGATAATGGATCTACACATACAGACAAGAAGTTGAGGTGTTAAGTTAATACTTTGCATCTCTCATTAGGGCAGCATGGTGGCTCAGTGGTTAGTACTACTGCCTCACAGCATCAGGGATGTGGGTTCAATTCCACCCTTGGGTGACTGTGTAGAATTTGCACATTCTCCCCATGTCTGTGTGGGTTTGCTCTGGTTTCTTCCTGCAGTCCAAAGATGTGCAGGCTAGATGGTCTGGCCACAAGAAATGCAGGGTTACAGGGATAGGATAGAGGGTGTAAGTCTGGGTGGGATGCTCTTCAGAGGGTTGGTGTGGACTAGATGGGCTGAATAGCCTGCTGCCACACTGAAGGCAGTCTATTATCTTTTATCAAGGAAACCAATGCTCCTCAGGCCAGAGAACAGGTGAGGAAACTCAGTCATTAGAAGAGATTAAAATTGAAAAGAAGGATATACTGGATATAGTTAAAGTTGATAAGGTATCAGGACTGAACACGATGCATCCCTCTATCTTTTTCAGGATATTGAAGGAAATGAGAGTGAAAATTGCAAAGGCACCTTTCACTCTTCCTCAGATTCAGGGGTGGTGCTTGAGGGCCGCAGAATTGTGAACATCACATCACCCTGTTCAAAAAAATAATCAGTCAAGCAGTAACAGACCAGTCAATGGTGGGTAAACTTTGAGAAACAATTGTTTGGCACAGAATTGATACTGTAGTAATGTGGAAAACTGTGGATTGATTCAGAAGAATTATCATGGATATGTTAAAGGAAAATCACATCCAGCTAACTTACTGAACTTTTTCAAGAGGTAACACAAAGACTCAATATGGGTAATGTTGTTGATGTGATGTACAAGAACCTCTAAAGAGGTCTTCCATACAATGCCATGTAACAGACTGACAAGGAAAATTATAGGTCATGGAATGAAAGGTACAGCAGCAATATGGATACAAAATTGGCTGAGACAGTGGAATAAAACTTGTTGTCTAGTCCCCCAGGGATCAGTATTGGGCCCCTCTTTGTTTTCCACACATGACCCTCATAGCATTATAGAGCTAGACAGCACAGAAACAGAGCCTTCGGTCCAACCAGTCTATGCTGACCATAATCCCAAACTAAACTAGTCCTGGCTCATGCCTACTCCTGGCCCATATCTCTCCAAACCTTTCCTATTCATGTACTTATCCAAATGTCCTTTAAATGTTGTAAATGTACCCACATCCGCCACTTTCTCTGGAGGTTCATTCCACGTGCGGGCCACCCCTAGAGTGCAGGGGGCAGTTTAAAAGTTTGAAGCCTTCACAAAATTTGGGAAAATTGTGAACAGTGTCCAATTCAAAGGGGCATTGACCCTTCAGTGGAATGGACGAACAGGTGACAGGTAAAGCTCGATGGGGAGAAGTGTGAAAAGGTTCAAAGTCTCATGGTGGGTGACAGACTTTTGTTTTGGCTCAGAAAAACATGACCTGTCCTGCCTGGGGTTTGCAAGATGCTCCCCAGTCCCTGAGTGACTTTATGAGGGACTTTGTTTTTGACTTTTCATACAGGGATCAGGCTTGCACGGCAGTGAAGGGTAGAATCTCCAACACAGGCTGCCCCATTCTCAACCCTCCCTAAAAATTTCACCCACCACAACCCCCATGTCACCTCACATTTTCTGATGGTACCTCACACAAGCCTGCTTGATTGGCACCCCATCCACCTACTCTTAAACATTCACTCCCATCACCGCTGACACACAGGCTGCACTGCACTCCAGACCCAAACTCATGACGTTGACCAGCTGGAAGGACAAGGTCAGCTCCCACAAACTGTGATAACTAGCTGATAATATGTTTGTGAAGCTGATTTGGGGGTTTTCACATTGGTCACTATGCCAGTGATAAATCCTCGGCACTGCTTTCAAGTAATCTCATGAGGGCACTCTGTTAGGGACCAGACCAAACCCGACCCCCTCAACGTATTCTAAGGAGGCAGCCTGGACCTTAACTTTTTCTTTTCAAAGGCAATTGTAAAGTGCTTGTTCCAGATGCAATGCCACTGGTCAAACCACTCGACATTAGGCAAAACACAATTTATTTAAACACTGGAGTTAAAATACAACCAAAGAAAGAGGAATTTAAAATAATTCCATTGGAAAATCTAACAGAATAATAGATACAGTAACTATTACTGATTAACTGTTCCAATATAGTAACATCCCGGAAACACACCCCTCGGCAAAAAAGGAAAATTCAGGCACAGATTCTCACATGCAGTTCTCCAATCCAGGAGGAAAAAAAAAATCAAGAGAAAATTCAGAGGGAGGAGCAACCAGGAGACCCCAACAGCTTCTGATGTTGCTGAAAAAAACCAAAAACCTAGAAATCCTGATCTGTGAGAGCTGGCCACAGCTATTCAGGCTGTCAAAAAAAAAGACCGAAAGCCTCTGAGGCTGTTTACTGAAGTGGTCTTAACTAGCCACCTCTCCTTCTACCGTTCAATCTCTCCCTTAAAAGAAACCAGGACAAAATAACCTTTTAAAGCTACAGCATCGTCACAGTTCAAACTGAAAGAGCTGTTGTGAGCCTCAGTTTAATGTCTCAATCAAAATGAGAGCACTCCATACTATACTGGGGGACCCACCTTAAAGTTTGTGCTCGGTGGGTTTTGAACCTGGAAGCACTGAGCCAAGCATGCAGCCAACTGAGCCACCATGATACACATCATCGACTTTCACCATGTGATGAGAGCTGTTTTACTTTCAAAATTTTGGAAAGGTGGAATAATTGAATTTTATTCATTCGTGGGATGAGGCTGTCGATAGCTAGGCAGCATTTATTGCCCATCCCTAATTGCCCAGAGGGCAGTTTAAGAGTCAACCACATTGCTGTGAGTCTGGAGTCACGTATAGGCCAGACCAGGTAAGGATGGCAGTTTCCTTCCCTAAAGGACATCAGGGAAAGTCTGATGCGTTTTGCCAACAATTGACAATGGTCACCATTAGACATTTATTTCCAAACTTTTATTGATTCCAAATTCCACCATGTGCCATGGTGGGATTCGAATAACTAAAACACAGCGGTAGAGAGAGAGAGAGAGGGAGGGAGGGAGAAAGAGAGAGACAGAGAAAGAGAGAGAGAGACAGAGAGAGACACAGAGAAAGGGAAAGAGAGAGGGGGAGAGAGAGAGACAGAGAGAGAGAGAGAGACGGAGTTAATATTTCAAATCTGATATGACTCTTCAAAACCGAAAGGGGTGGGAAAATGCTTTCCTTTACTACGGAAGCATTCCGAACTTAAAACATTAACTCTGTTTCTCTTTCTGCACATTCTCCCCCTGTCTGCGTGGGTTTCCTCCAGGTGCTCCGGTTTCCTCCCACAGTCTAAAGATGTGCAGTATAGGTGGTTTGGCCATGCTAAATTGCCCCATAGTGTCCAGGGATTTGCAGACTAGGAAGATAGGCCATGGGAAATACAGGATAGGGTCAGGAGTGGGTCTGAATGGGATGCTCTTTGGAGGGTCAGTGTGGACTCAATGGGCCAATTGGCCTGCTTCCACACTGCAGGGATTCTATGATTCTAGTCTAGGCCCACATGTGACTCCAGGCCCGTGGCAATGTGATTGACTCTTAATCGCCCTTTGAGACTGCCCCAGCACGCGACTAAGTTTCAGGATAATTAGGGGTGAGCAGCTAATGAAGTGATGCCCATCATTCCCTGAAAGAATAATCGAAACATTGACAAAAAACTATGAAATCATATGAAAGAAACACAGTCAAGAAGGTAGCAGGCCTGCAGCATCAGAGGAGCAGAAAAGTTGATGTTTCAGTTCGGGACCCTTCTTCAGAAATGGGGGAGGGGGAAGGGAGCTCAGAAATAAATAGAGAGAGGAGGGATGGGGCTGGGGTAGGTAGGTGGGATGGTGATAGGTGAGTGCAGGTATGTAGTGGTGAGGATTGGTCAGTGAGGTGGGAGGGGTGGATAGGTGGGAGAGAAGATGAATAGGTTGTTTCAGGTCAAGGAGGCGGGGATGAGAGGGAGGATTGGAGAGGGAGCGGGGCGGGGGGAGCGGGGTGGGGAGATTTTGAAACTGGTAAAGTCCACATTTAGGCCATTGGGTTGTAGGCTCCCAAGGCGGAATATGAGGTGCTGCTCCTCCAGTTTGCGGGTGGCGTCATTGTGACACTGGAGGAGGCCCAGGATGGACATGTCGTCCAAGGAGTGGGAGGGGGGGTTTAAATGGTTCACGACTGGAAGGTGTTGTCGTTTGTCGTGAATAGAGCTCAGATGCTCCATAAAACTGTCTCCGAGCCTCCGCTTGGTCTCACCAATGTAGAGGAGGCCATATCGGGGGCAGCGGATGCAGTAGATTACATTTTGGATGTGCAGGTGAACCCCTGTCTGATGTGGGAGGTGTGTTTGGTGCTTTGAATGGAGGTGAGGGGGGAGGTGTAGGCGCAGGTGTAGCACTTCTTGCGGTTGCAGGAAAAGGTGCCGGGGGGTGGTGGGGCTAGTGGGGAGTGTGGAGCAGACGAGGGAGTCGCGGAGAGAGCGGTCCTACAAAAAGCAGATGGGGTGGGGAGGGAAATATATCCTTGGTTGTGGGGTCAGATTGTAGGTGGCGGAGAATGATACATTGAATCCAGACGTTAGTGGGGTGATACGTTTGGACAAGGGGGGTTCTGTCTTTGTTTTTGTTGCGGCAAGGGGATGTGAGCGCAGAAATGCGGGAAATGCAAGAGATACGGTTGACAGCATTTTCGACCACTGTGGGAGGGAAGCTGTGGTCCTTGAAATACGAGGACATCTGGGTTGTTTGGGAGTATAATACCCCATCTTGGGAGCAGACGCGGCGGAGGCGGAGGAATTGGGAGTAGGGAATCGCATTCTTGCGGGAGGGTGGGTGAGAGGAGGTGTAGTCTAGGTAGGTGTGGGAGTCGGTGGGCTTGAAATAGATATCAGTTTCGAGGCAGTCACCTCTCTATCTCCATCTCTGGTGACCACCTCGAAACTGACATCTATTTCAAACCCGCTGACTCCCACAGCTACCTAGACTACACCTCCTCTCACCCACCTTCGTGCAAGAATGCTATTCAGTGGTCAAAAATGCTCTCGACTGCACCTCTTCCGTTTCTCGCACCTCTGCCCTCACGTCCCCTCCCCGCAACAAAAACAAAGACAGAATTCCCCTTGTCCTCACATATCACCCCACTAACCTCCGGATTAAATGTATCATTCTCCGCCACCTACAATCTGACCCCAAAACCAAGGATATATTTCCCTCCCCACCCCATCTGCCTTCCATAGGGACTGCTCTCTCCATGTCTCCCTCGTCTGCTCCACACTCCCCACTAACTCCCCAACCCCCGGCACTTTTCCCTGCAACCGCAGGAAGTGCTACACCTGCCCCTACACCTCCCCCCTCACCTCCATTCAAGGCACCAAACACATCTCCCACATCAGACAGAGGTTCACCTGCACATCTGTCAATATGGTCTATTGCAACCGCTACTCCCGATGTGGCCTCCTCTACATCGGTGAGACCTAGCGGAGGCTCGGAGACTGCTTTGTAGAGCACCTGCGCTCTGTTCATGACAAATGACAACACCTTCCAGTCGCGAACCACTTCAACTCCCCCTCCCACTCCCTGGACGACATGTCCATCCTGGGCCTCCTCCAGTGTCATCCGGAAACTGGAGGAGCAGCACCTCATATTCCACCTTGGGAGCCTACAGCCCAATGGCCTAAATGTGGATTTTATCAGTTTCAAAATCTCCCCACCCCCGGCCTCATCCCATGACCAACCCTCCCTCTCATCCCTGCCTCCTTGACTTGTCCATCTTCTCTCCCACCTATCCACCCCTCCCACCTCACTGACCAATCCCCACCGCTGCCCACCTGCACTCACCTATCACCATTGCACCTACCTTCCCCAGCCCCATCCTTCTTGTATCTATTTATTTCTGAGCTCCCTTCCCTCTCCCCCTTTTCTGAAGAGGCGTCCCACCCGAAACGTCAGCTTTCCTGCTCCTCTGATGCTGCCTGGCCCGCTGTGCTCCTCCAGCTCCACACTGTGTTATCTCGGCTCCAGCATCAGCAGTTCTTACTATCTCCGAGCAGGCCAGTCAATATGTGGCTCTCAAAAGACAGCCAATCTTTTAGAGATCTTGGTAATGCAAAACACAATGTCCTTGGCCGAATTTCAAAAGGAAGCAGCACTCTACGAAAGATTTGCAAAGACTAATTAATAGAAGGGAAAGAAAGAAAGGGCGAGTAAAGGAAATGAGATAAAAGAAAGTCCATGATGTGAAAAGACACTGAAGGTGGTGGTTTTGAGGGTTTTTATCAGATTATTCCAGCTGAATTCTTCAGAATGCATTTGAGATCAGTGGTGTCTCATTCACTTGCCATTGACTGGAGCACAGCAACAAACACTTGCATTTGCAAAGCGCCTTAATGTAGATTATTCTCCCAAGGTGCTTGGCAGGAGCATTATCGAACAAGATTTGATGCCACAGCCACGTAAGTTGGTTAGAAAAGACAGGGGACCAAAGATCTCAGTCAAAGGACCGTCTTAAAGACGGAAAGGCTGAAGGAAGGAATATCAGAGCTCAGCGTCCGAGGCAGCCAATGACAGAAGTGGTTAGCACTGCTGCCTCACAGCGCCAGGGACGCAGGTTTGATTCCAGCCTCGGGCAACAGTCTGTGTGGAGTTTGCACATTCTCCCCGTGTCCGCGTGGGTTTCCTCCGGGTGCTCCGGTTTCCTCCCACAGTCCAAAGATGTGCAGGTTAGGTGGACTGGCAATGCTAAATTGCCCGTAGTGTTCAGGAATGTGTAGATTAGGTGGGTTATAGGGGGATGGGTCTGGGTGGGATTCTCTGAGGTTGGGTGTGGCCTTGTTGGGCCGAAGGGCCTGTTTCCACACTGTAGGGATTCTATGATTAAGAACTGCTCAAAACACCAGCGAAGGTGAGTGGTAGTGCAATGAAAATATCACTAGATTAATAATCCTGTACCCCAGGCTAATTTTCTGGGGACATGGGTTCAAATCCTACCGTAGTAGATAGTGAAATTCAAACTCAATAAAATTTGGAATTAAAAGATAATCTAATGATGACCAGATAACCACTGTCAGTTGTCTTTAACAAAAAAATCTGCTTCACTCATGTCCTTTAGGGAAGGAAAGCTGTTGTCCTTAACTACTGGACTACTTATGACTCCAGACCCACAGCAGGGTAGTTGATTCTGAAATGGCCCAACAAGTTGCAATTAACAACTGGCAATAAATGCTGGCCTTTCCACTGATCCCACATCTCATGGATGATATTTCTCTTAAAAAGCAAAGGCTGAGGCCATTCATCATTAGCACAGGTCTGCTATCCTAACAAGTGTAAACGATTCATCCATTAAAAAATACAATTTTGTCATCATCTGTCACAGTCTGAAGTTCCAAATATGTTTTTCAAGTAAAAGTGGTCACTACATTCCTGATAACATTCATTTTCTTACCTTCAATGTTTTGCTTGCAAGCATTTCCATGATACTAAGTTCAGTAGTGTTACCCATCATGTCTTGTTTTGCTGTTCCCATACTGAATGAGGCCATTTGGCCAACATAGTCAATTTGACTCTTTGAAAGAAGCTACCCAGTTTGTCCCATAGTCCTGTAATTTCTTTTCCCTTTCAAAATATTCATCCTTTTGCAAATTAGCATTGAATCTGCTTCCAGTGGCTTAGTCTGTTTTCCACTGTTATCAGGTGTATAACGTTGTTGCTCCAATCACCCAGCACAGGGCATGTGGGATGGTACCAGTTTTGGGAGGCTTGGCACCTTGAAGTGACAGGAATAGAAAAGAAATAGCTGTTACTTTGCCATAGACAGGGAACTACTCCCTCCTTTAAGATTCACAGCATGAGGGGAGCTCACCATGTCCTTGCTGGCTGTGAAGGAGCTACTCAGCACTATCCCACTCTTCCGATCTCAATCTATAGCCTTGTGGTCTTGACAGCACTTCAGGGACTTATTAAAATGAGGCGAGGGTTTCCTTTCAGATAGGGAGTTCCAGAGTCCCACTACCTCCTGTGTGGAAAAAAATTCCCTTCAAACCTCCTAATTCTTCCTCTGTACCTGGTCATGGACCACTCAGGAAAACAATATAGTCTCTTCTCTCTAGGCCACACAAGTATCGATAGAGCAACTGGATCTCAACTCCTCATATTTTTACATTCCTCACTTAAATCTCCCCTCAGCCTCCTCTGTTCCGAAGAAGACAACTCCAGTCTTGCCAATCTTTCCTTAGTGCAAAGAAAATGATAGGTTACAAGAGGTAGATGGCTCAGTGGTTAGCACTGCTGCCTCACAGCGCCAGGGACTCCAGTTCAATTCCACCCTTGGGTGATGCTCTGTGTAGAGTTTACATGTTCTCCCTGTGCCTGCATGGGTTTGCTCTGGTTTCCTCCCACAGTCCAAAGATGTGCAGGTTAGGTGGATTGGCCAATGTAGTGTCCAGGGATGTGCAGGTGAGGTGCATAGCAAATGCAGGGTTATAGGAATGTCATGGGCCTAGGTGGGTTTGCTTTTGGAGGCTTGGTGTGGACTCGATAGGCCAAACTGCCTGCTTCCACACTGTAGGGATTCTATGATTCTAAGTCTGTGCAAAGCTATATGTAAACGATAAATATTCTCTCCCTTAAAAAAAAAATCACAAGGATATTTTATTCATAAAGCACTAATATGCTGGGTGGTTTGGGGACTTTTTATAGAAACAGTCCAATTTGCTGTCTCCTGATTTCTATCCCAGAAGGTAGAACCAGTAAAACATGTGAATGGGACATACTGTTTACATAAAGTATACCTTAAAATGGAGCTCCATTGTGGCCGATTCATACTAAAGTATTACTTTATTTTTATAGAAATCTGATTTCTTCTTTGATCAAGAAAGTGCAAGCCTTTCCTTTGATCTGACCCTCCAATTGTGAGCAACTTGAAATTTCCCTCCCTCTCAAGTTTTGAAAAATACCTTTTCTTTTAACCTCAATAAACATTGCGTGAACTTGAAGCAGCATCCTGTTGCTAAAACATTGTCCTGTTTATGTGACATTTCTTTTCCCTCTCTGTTTTGACTGTTGACTTGGTACCTTCCGTGCCTGTGAGATCTTGCACAGCCTTGTGAGAGCTGCCAACAGGGCAGGGAGGAAGGGAAAAGGACGTGGTGGGGATTGGAATGGAGACCGTCGTTGTTCCTTATTTACGACAGAGCGGGTTCTGTGGCTTTGGCTGGTAACATAGATAAACCCAGAAATCACACGGGCCAAAGGCATCACAGTTAACCACACAGCGTAGTCAATCCTTGTGTTCGCTCCCTCTGGCAGGGAGAGCTAGTTTAATCAGCGTTGAACAGAAGACACACCAGGGTCCCAGGGTCAATTGGGAAGGTCAGTCACGTGAAAAATAACAGAACAACTAAAAAAAAACACAACAAAATTAAGTGAGGACAATCTCATTTTCCTTTCCCGCAGTATCTTGTTCCGACTGAAACACCCTCAGTCATGCTACAATTTGCACCTACTGCCCTCCTAATACTCTGCCAAGTTACCAAACAACATCTGATAGCAGGGAATTTAGCCAAAAGTGGGACATATTCTGTAGATTATAGAACAGTCCTGGCTAGTTAGAGGTTGGCAAATGTAACTCCGCTATTTTATAAAAGGAGGGAGCGAGAAAGCCGGGAATTACAAACTGTGAATACAGGTGGCCCCCAGCTTACAGACAGGTTCCATTCCTGAGTACATAAGGGGTGAGGTCTACACTCGATGGAGTTTAGAAGGATGAGGGGAATCTAATTGAAACTTACAGAATATTGAATGGCCTGGACAGAGTGGATGTTGGGAAGATGTTTCCATTGGTAGGAGAGACTAGGACCTGAGGGCACAGTCTTAGAGTAAAAGGAAGACCTTTTAGAACGGAGATAAGAGAAACTTCTTTAGCCAGAGAGTGGTGAATCTATGGAATTCATTGCCACAGAAGACCGTGGAGGCCAGGTCATTGAGTATGTTTAAGAAGGAGATAGGTAGGTTCTTGATTGTCAAGGGGATCAAGAGTTCCAGGGAGAAAGCGGGAGAATGGGGTTGAGAAACTTATCAACCAGGATTGAATGGCACAGCAGACCTGATGGGCTGAATGGCCTAACTTCTGTTCCAATGTCTTATGGTCTTATAGAGGTTTATAAAATCACGAGGGGCATGGATAGGGTGAATAGCCCAGGTTTTTCCCAGGGTAGCGGAGTCCAAAACTAGAGGCATAGGTTTAAGGTGAGAGCGGAAGGATTTAAAAGGGACCTAAGGGGCAACTTTTTCACACAGAGGGTAGTGCGTGTATGGAATGAGCTGCCAGAGGAAGTGGTAGAGGCTGGTACAATTACAACATTTAAAAGACATCTGGATTGGTACATGAACAGGAAGGGTTTCTAAGGTTTTACAGTAGATTTGTAGCTCGGGTTGTGGATGCTGTGGTTGTTGGCTCGCCGAGCTGGTTCGTTGTTCCACACACGTTTCATTACCCTGCTGGGTAACATCATCAGTGCAACCTCCAATGAATCGCTGTTGTGTTTTCCCGCCTGTTATTTAAATTCAGGTGTCTGTTGAGCTGGGTTACCTCACTTCCGGTTTTCCTTCACCATGGAGTATATGTAGGGTCTAGCTCTATGTGTTTATTGATGGCCATCAATAAGTCCCTGAAGTACGGAAAATGCTATAACCTATTATAAAAGATGTGATAACGGCACACTTAAAACATACAGAACGGTATTACACAAAGTCAACATGGGTTTATGATAGGGCCTGACAGGCCCCCAGGAGTTTTTCAAGGAAGTAACTACTGGAATCGATGAGGGAGAACTGGTCAATACGATGTATTTGGATTTTCAGAGAGCTTTTGATGGAGTCCTGTCATAAGAGGTTAGTGGGTGAAATTAAAGCATACGGGATTACCGGTAATCTACTGGCATGGACTGGGAATCAAGGAAACACAAGGCTGAATTTTCCCAGATCCTAAACAACATTGACAAAAACGTCGGGGGAATTGCAGGAAATCGGCAGAGAGGAACTTTCTCGACACTGAGCGCAGATAAGTCCTATGCTCCAGCCAAGTGTCAAATGGTGAGACAGGATTCTCACAGGTGAGTGGCAAGAGGGCTATCTTCATTTGTTAACATCTCCTTATGATGTCATCTGGCCTCAGTGATGTGTAGTTTCCTATTTTCCCATCCACTAGGTAGAAACTGGACACTATTCCTGAGAGGAAAGTCCAAGTGGGCACCTGGTGACTCCAGCTCCTCTGGACGTCCATCAGTTACCAACATCAAAGGAGGCGTTCTATGAGCAGTAACGACACATTCAGCAGGATTGCCAATTACCCTGCCAACAAAGCAGGATGCCGATAGCCCTCTGATCAACATACCAATCGCAAATAAACCACCACTGAGCAGGGCAGCTACAGACTGCCAGATCATGACCGGGTGCATGTTTGTGCTTTCAGACGGCATCAGTGCCAGGGATCCCAGGAGACCCCGGCAGTAATCAGCACCGTCTCTTGTGGTGAGAGAGGTGATATGACAAGGCTGGGGGAGGGGGGGGGGGGGGTCACACCATAGGGGCAAAGTGCAGAGGTAATGAGGTGAGTTTAGGAAGATTGTGCGAGAAGACTTGCTAGGCCTCGTAGAGGAAAACCTTCCAGGAAACTCGCCAAGTTTGGTATGTAGCCAATTTCTAGGAAGCTTGAGCCCAGAGAGTGGGTGCAATGATTGGAATGAGGTTGGCCAGGTGGATCTCATTGAGTATGAGTTCCCTGATTAGGCTTGTTAACCTGGACCAATCAGGGAGCCCTGGCTGATAGATATAAACAGGAGCGTCAGAGGTGCTGCTCACTCTAAGGGAGCTGGATCAGTGTCAAGGACTCTCCACCTGTAAATAAAGGGTGGCCAGCCTCTGTGGAGTTATTTCATTAGCTTTTTGAGATCCTGAGCTGTTTTTTCCACCAAGCTGGGTGACAGCGTGACTCCTCAGAATTAACCCTTTCAGACCCTCACCCACCATGTCGCCTACCACACACCTACACTCAGACTCATTCCCCTTGCAGAACAGGTGGTCACATTATAAATCTATAAATCAATAGCAGTGGGCCATTTGGCTGTTGAGTTTCTTCAATATGATCGCGGCTGACCCGTCAGTTTCTCAAATTCCACATTCCCATCTACCGCACCTCCCCCCCACCCAATAACCTTTGTTTCCCAGCTTAACAAGAAGCTTTCTACCTCTACCTTTAAAAAAAAGTACACAATGATCCCACCTCCACTGCCTTCTGATTGAGAGAGTTCCAAATTCACACAACCCTCTGAGAGAATCCTCCTCATCTCTGTCCTCATGGGGCGACACCTAATTTTAAAAGTTTTTTTTGAAACTCACTCGTGGGACGTGGGTGTTGCCGGCTGGGCCAGCATTGATGGCCTGTCCCTGGTTGCCCCTTTGTAAAGGTGGTGGTGAGCTGCCTCCTTGAACCACTGCAGTCCGTGTCCTGTAGGTGTAACTGGGGGAGGGAGTTCCACGATTCTGACTGTTAACCGTCTGAAATGGCCCTGCAAGCCGTTCAGTAGAAGATCAGGGATATGAAATGAATGCTAGCCTTACCAGCGATGTCCGCATTCCAGGAAAGAATTTTTTGAAAACTTTTGGGCAGCATGGTGCTCAGTGGTTAGCACTGCTGCCTCACAGCACAGGGACTTGGGTTCGATCCCACCCTCGGGCAACTGTCTGTGTGGACTTTGCACTTTCTCCCCGTGTCTGCGTGGGTTTCCTCTGGGTGTTCCGGTTTCCACCCACAGTCCAAAGATGTGCAGGCTAGGTGGATTGACCATGCTAAATTGCCCCGTAGTGTTCAGGGATGTGTGGGTTATAGGGGGATGGGTCTGGGTGGGATGCTCCAAGGGTCGGTGTGGACTTGTTGGGCCAAAGGGCCTGTTTCCACACTGCAGGGATTCTGCATTCTATATTCTATATTATAACACAAGTGACCCTTGGGGTCAACCAGTGACCTCCTGACCCTGAGATGTGCCCAATTGGGGGGCATTTGCAGTTGTGAAGTTCGCACTGGGATTTTTCTGGACAATGACAAACATCAAAGTGCGGGTAAAGGTGCAAAAATGTGCCATATTCCAATGTGTGGACATCCTGACGATGACAAAGACCTTTGAGATAGTCTCCCCATTTCTCCTTCCCTCAACAATGCCATCGACCTTGATCCCATAGTCAACTTCAGACTGTGAGGAAACCAGAGGGAGGATCCTGCAACCTTTACAAAATCATTCCAAAACTTACTGTGGAGATGAATTCCAGAAGAATTATGTGCTGCACGGTTGCAAAGAAACGCTGATTAAGAAATCACAGGGATGATTAAATAAAATCCCAACCCCCTCCAGCCCTCAAACTCTTGGCAGTAAATATTTTGCAAGCCTTTTTTCCCTGCTCTTCCTCTTCCTGGTCTTTTTTTTCCAGTTTGTGTCTGTGGGTGGGTGGAGGCGGCGGCTCTCCACCTCCTTCACTGGGGTTGGTAGGCGCCTGTGGCTGTTTGCTGTCGGACGACCCAAAAAAAAGCTGGGCGGCTCACCTAGGCAGCGCCTTTAAGGGGTGGGTCACTGGTAGGTTGTTACCTGTAGACGGTGACGTCGGGTGTGGGGCTGGGACAACCTGGGAGGCAGGCAGGAAGGAGGAAGTTGCCATTTGGGACACTCAGCAACTTCTGGAGCCCTCGCAGACCACAATGTCAGCCTCTGCAGTCTTTATTCTGGACCTTAAAGGCAAGGTAGGGGGTGGTGGTTGTCCGAGAAATACACTGTCTACATGCCTCGGGGGGGCGGGGATGGGAGTTGCCCTGTCCTCACTATTTGATTGCAGTGCCTCCCAGAGATCTCAGACTGGTGGGGGTCAGAAACACTCCAGCCCTCACAGCTGAGTGCCCACCCACAACCTGCCACCAACTAAAGATGCAGCTGAGATGGGTGCCAACAGTTATCTGTGTTGTAAATTAATTTCACTTCTGTACACAAGTGCAGGATAATACTTCCGAGATAGTAGGAACTGCAGATGCTGGAGAATCCGAGACAACACCTTGTTGTCCAGGATAATACTTAACTGGGTTTGAAGTGGCAAGGCCTTAATCTGATGAAGGGTTCCGACCCGTAACGTCGACTCTGATGCTGCCTGAGCTGCTGTGTTCCTCCAGCTCCACACTGTCTGGACAAGACCTTATTGGGGTCACCTATTTACCACATCTCCATTTAAGAGCTCGGAGACATTTTAAATAAAGAAAGAACTCTAATTTCTCGACTTCCATCTGATTTAACGTCACATTGTTTTTAAACTTTTGAGTGTAAGTTCCTACTTCCAGCTGCCTTGGTAACTTCCATTCCGCACAGCAGTAATCAAACCCTTGCTGGTACTGGAATCGGCAGTATTAACCAGTTTAATGTTACTGCTCAGTTGATAGCTCTCTTGGCTCGCAGTCTGAAGGTTCTGGGTTCATGTCTCGCTCCAGGGAACTGAACATTGAGAAAGAAAATTGAGGCTGATGCCCCCACATCTTGGGGGGAGGGTGGTTCTGAGATGAGATCGTTGACTCATCGAATCCCTACAGTGTGCAAATGTTAAACCCTGTCCACTCTCTCAGGTAAAACAAAATTCTGTGGTCTTATTTCCCAAAGAAATGGGATGTTTTCTCTGGTCAGTAGTTATTCCTCAAATGATATCGCAAGAAAAATCCCAGATTATTGTTAAAAACCGAAAGAACTGCGGATGCTGTAAATCAGGAACAAAAACAGAAGTTGCTGGAAAAGCTCAGCAGGCCTGGCAGCATCTGTGAAGACAAAATACAGAGTTAACGTTTCAGGTCCGGTGACCCTTCCCCAGATTATTGTTGTTTGTAAGAGCTTGTTGTGGGTAAATTGGCAGCTACCTTTCCTGTATTACAATTTGACAACACAATGTCGTTTATTGTTCACGGGATGTTGCCCAACCTTAATTGCCCTTGAGAAGGTGGGGATTGTTGTATGACGTAAGGTTTGAGTTATAAGGAGACACTGGATAGGCTGGGACTTCTTTCGCTGGAGTGTAGGACGTTAAGAGGCGACCAAATAGAAGTTTATAAAATCATGTGTGGTGTAGATAGGCTTAATGATAGTTGTCTTTTCCCTAGGATGGGGGATATTAAGAATAGGGGGCACATTTTTAAGGTGAAAGGAGAGAGATTTTAAAAAAAACATGAGGGGCAAATGTTTTACACAGAGGGTGGTTCGCATGTGGAATGAACTTGCAGAGGAAGTGGTGGACATGGGTACAATTACAACATGAAAAGACATTTGGATAAGTACGTGAATGGGAAAGGTTTGGAGGGACATGGGCCAGGAGCAGGCAGATGGGACTAGTTTAGTTTGGGATGATGGTCAGCATGGACTAGTAAGACCGAAAAGTCTGTATGACTCTGTGACTGAACCCATTCTATTAGGTGCAGAGCCTGGGTGAGATTCCCAGAGTTATTACAATTCTCAGACAGGATACACCAATTTCAGCTCCCACCTTTCCCCCAATGAGGAGGGATAAACTGTTTCCCTTTCTTTTTTCACCCACACATTCACCTCACCTTGGATAGTTGCTACAATGTTAATTTAGAAAGGATCACATCCCTTGACGATGACTTTCTCCCAGAATGAATGAAATTATGTTATAAAAGTAGCCAATTTAATCAGGCTTTCTTGGATTAACAAAAGAGTGAGCTTATAATTTACTAAACACAGAAAGAAAGAATAACACAACATACATGCACAGATTAGAAATGTGAAATGAGTTTTAAAAAAAAGATAGACGTAAAAAGATGTATTTCTGGATCATTTCTGAAGAGTGGATAGTGTTGATGGTTGACAATCGATTTTTGAGATTCTTGGCTTGGCAGGTTAGTTGGAATTCTTTTATCCTGTTTCCATTTGTCTGCCTGTCTGTTTCTGGCACTCAAAAAGAATCATTATACCTGCATTGCAGGGGTGACTGGTAGGTTGTTCATCCAACTGTGACCTTCACTACACACTAGTGTTAGCATCCAAGCTAGTTCACATGGATACCTCAGCCTATTTGAACAAATGAGCACCTTTGATTTGATTTATTATTGTCACATGTACCTAAGTGCAGTGAAAAGTTTTGCTTTGCGTGCAGTACAGGCACATCATAACATATGAAGATGATACGGTGGTTGAACAGAGCGAGGAATACAAAATTACGACTGCAAAGAAGGTGCACTGAAAGCAAGGTCAACATTAGATTTAAAATTTGAGGTCTTTTCAGAAGTCTAATAACAGCAGGGAAGAAGCTGTTCTTGCTCCTATTGGTATGTGTGTTGAAGCTTTTGTAGCTTCTGCCTGACAGAAGAGGTTGGAAGAGATTATAACTGGGTTGGGAGGGGTCATTGGTGATGTTGGCTGTCTTTCCACGGCAACAAGAAATGTAGATGCAGTCAATAAATGGATGGAAGGTTGGCTGGCATGATGGTCTGGGCTGTGTTCAAAACTTTCTGTAGTTTCTATGGCCCTGGGCAGAGCAGTTGCTGTACCAGGCCATGACGTACCCAGATAGAATGCTTTCCATGTTGTAACAGTAAGAGTTGGTGAGAGTCCTTATGGACATGCTGGATTTCCTTAGCCTCCTGAGGAAGAAGAGGCATTGTGTGCCTTCTCGTATGTTCGCTGAACAGCACATTGTTTTTCTCTAGCACACACAGATCAGGGTTGAGTCAACACAGTGGGGAGCTAAAGGAACACAGCAGATCAGGCAGCATCAGAGGAACAAGAAAGTCAACGTTTCGGATCGGAACCCTTCATCAGAACTCCAGACCAGGGTTGAATTGCATTTTTCCCTCTTTTTTTGGAAGGGAAAGACACAAGACATGTCTTTTGCCCAGACTGCTGTGCTATCTCTCGTCATGTTAACAATCTGTGATAACTTGCAAGTGGTTACACATTTCTTCTCTACTAAGTCCATCCCTTTGAATCTTTCTTGACACCTCATTAAGTGATATATTCAAGGTTCTGTCTCTATCCAGACACCCACTGCATTTGCATTCAGTCATTTTTTGACTTATGTGGGGGTTTTTTTCAAGTAAACACGTATCTAAAAGTTCAATATTTCTGCAAATACTTTGGGGCTCTTTGGATATCATGACAGTATTGATATCACACACAATATGCCTGAAAACATGTGGTTGTACTTCTTGCTATAATGCAATAAACCTTCTTGTTATCCAAGCATAGTGATTGTTCTGTAGATACTCTATAGTGGTGTATCCTGTACCACTGATAACTAGATTGGGCACAAACAGAGGGTTGGTGACAGTGGAATTGCTGTCAGCACTCCTCACCCAGTACCACATAGTGGTAGAGGTGGCAAATACCACAAGGTGCCAGCAGTGGTCCATCTAGGCAAATATGACAGGAGTGAGTTGCATTCTTGAACTGCAGCAGCCCACATTAGGGATGGCACAGTGGCTCAGCGGTTAGCACTGCTGCCTCTCAGCACCAGGGACCTGGATTCAATTCCATCCGAGGGCGACTGTTTGCTTGTGTAGAGTTTGTACATTCTCCCTGTGTCTGTGTGGGCCCCCTCCAGGTGCTCTGGTTTCCTCCCACAGCCCAAAGATGTGCGGGTTAGGGTGGATTGGCTGTGCTACATTGCTCATAGTGTCCAGGGATGTACAGGTTCGGTGGACTAGCCATGGGAGATGCAGGGTTACAGGGATGGGGCAGGGGCGGTGGGTCTGGGTGTGATGCTGTTCAGAGGGTTGGTGAGGACTCGATGGGTTGAATGGCCTGCGTCCACACTGTAGGTATTCTAAGATTCTGTGTTGTGTAGGTACAGCCACAGTACAACTAAAAAGGGAGAAGGTTGTAAAGAGTTCTGAGCCATCCTGAGATTATGCAAGGTGCTATAAAAATACAGGTCTTTCTATCCCTGTGTTGTGAGAAAATCTCCGTTTGAGTTCAAACTGGGCAAAAACCTGCAGAGTAGATCTGGCAGCGTCTGTGAAGAGAAATCAGAGTTAACGTTTTGGATTCTGAGGGAGGGTCACCGGACCCGAAGCATTAACTCTGATTTTTCTTCATGGATGCTGCCAGACCTGTTGAGCTTTTCTAGCAACTTCTGTTTTTGTTCCTGATTTACAGCATCCGCAGTTCTTTCGGTTTTTATTTAGTAAAATCCTGCAGATGCTGGCAATTTGAAATTAAACTAGCAAGTGCTGGAGAAACTGGCCTACTCCTGACTCTTCACCCACGGATCCAGTTGACTCTTAACTGCCTTCCGAAATGGTCTACAAGCCATTCAGCTCGTGGGGTAACTAGGGATGGGTAACTAGTGCTGAACTAGCTAGCAAGGCCCACATCCCAGGAGTGAATAAAGATGAGATGCTGTTTGAGATGGGTTTGCAACAGATGCTGCATCAGTCCTTGAGGAAAAAAGAACCTTTCCTCTCCAGTAATCCTGGTCAACGTTCCTCCTTCAGCCAGTGTCAGATCAACAGGTTGCTCACCTCAGAGCTGTTTGTGGAATGTTGCTGCTGTCCCAAGGTATTTGAATATAAGGTATGTTGAAGGAATTGACTTACGATTCTTATATATTAAAAATTTTCCATCGATAGAATCATTGAAGGATTCCATAAAGAGGCCATTCAGCCCATGGTACCTGTGCCAGCTCTTCGAACAAGCTCTCCAATTATACCCAGTCCCTGCTTTTTCACCGTCCTCTTGATTTTTTTTTGTCTTCAAACACTTACATTCCGAGTGTTACTGTTGCACACTTTAATCACGCCTTCAGGCAATGCATTTCAAATTGTTTTAATTGACTGTGTTCAACAAAAGCCTCTTTCGCTAAGTTACCTTGAATCTATGTTCTTGGATTGCAAATGTTTCCGAAACCAGAAAGTTTCTCTTCACTTCCTCAATCAAACATCTCTATCAAGTCCCCTCTTAATTAATCAAACGAAAACATGGGGTGGGTGGTGTGGGGCCAATGTTCCCTGGTGCATTCAGCAAGGCATTGCTGTGGGGAAATCATAGATTCCCTACAGTGTGGGGCATTTAGCATTTGGGTCCACGCTAACCCTTTGAAGATCATCCCACCCAGACCCATCTGGCCCTACCCTATCCCTGTACTTCCCACAGCCAATCCATCCAGCCTGCACATCCCCCTTGACACTGTGGGCAATTTAGCATGGCCAGTCCACCTACCCTGTATATCTTTGGACTGTGGGAGGAAACAGGAGCACCCAGAGGAAACCCACGCAGACACTGGGAGAACAGTTGCCTGAGGGTGGAATCAAACCTGGGTCCCTGGTGCCTAGAGGTAGCAATGCTGACCCCTGAGCCACTGTGCCCTCCAGGGTCCACTTGCCAACTAATCAGTACCCTCATTTCATGCAGTATAAATTGTTGGTATTCTTGCAATTATGTCCTGATGAGTGTAAGGTCAAAAACTTACAAGGCTTGAATCTTTTCCAGCAATACTCCAGTTCCATCACTCGAGTAACTATTTACAATCTCTTAACCCTTTCACACAATTTGTAATGCGCAAAGCAGGCTCCATATTTGCATGGCATTGTGCCAACACTACAACACAACCGAGTTCCTCAATGCGCAGGCTGTGCCCTTCCAATTCTTAATCAACTGCTATTTTAGTTTCTCAAAGATTGATAGCCATGCTTTAGCAGACCCAGCCTTAGGCAGCGTGGGAAACTGAGGGGTGACCTTGTGGAGGTCGATAAAATCATGAGAGGCATAGATAAGGTAGACCACCAACAGCTTTTCGCCATGGTTGGGAAGCCTAAAACTAGAGGGCATGGGTTTAAGATGAGAGGGGAGAGATACAAAAGGGTCCAGTGGAGCAATTTTTTCACACAGAAAGTGGTGAGGAAGCAAGTACAATTTTGTCATTTAAGAACCATTTGAACAGGGACATGGATGGGATAGGTATGGAGGGATACGGTCCAAATGCAGGCAAATAGGACTAGATTAATTATGAAAACTGGGTGGCGTGAGCAAGTTGGGCTGAAGGGCCTGTTTCCATGATGTAGACCTCTGTGACTCTGGAATTCCCTTCCTAAACCTCCCTGCCTTTTTTTTGCCCAGAAACTCCTTCCAAACACCTGGTCCTACCTTTAATAAAAGAAAAATATTGAGGATGCTGGAAATCTGAAATGAAAAAAACAGAGAATGCTGGAGAAACTCAGCAGGTCTGGAAGCATCTGTGGAGAGAGAAAAGAAATTAGCATTTTAAGTTTCACATGACTGTTTAGACCAGTTCTGAAGAAGAGTCATATTGGACTTTATTTTTTTCTCTCTCCACAGACCTTTTGATTTCCCGCAGGACTTTCGGTTTTGTTTCCTGGCCCTACCTTTTTTGCTTATCTGGTTCAGTGTCAAATTTCATTCGATAACACTCCTGCAGAGGTAGCCATGTCAGCGTTTGAGTTAAGAACAGTCTTTTTTTCCCAGTTATCCTGGCCAACATTCCTCCTTCAGCCAGTGTCAGGTTAACAGGTTTGTTTACCTCATAGTTGTTCGTGGAATACCACTAGGAGTGGTATTATCACTCGACTTAATCCAGAGACCCAGGTAATGTCTTGAATTCAAATCTCACCACGGTGGATGATGGGATTTGAGCTCAGTTTATTTTTAGAGACTAATGATGCCCATTAAGCTGTTACCGATTGTTGAATAAACCCCTCTGGTCTGATTTAGGGAAGGAAATCTGCCATCCTTAACTGGTCTGGCCTGTATGTGACTCCAGACCCGCACCAACGTGGTTGATTCTTAACTGCCGTGTGGGCAATTAGGGATGAACCAGCCAACGACACCCACATCCCCGTGGAGCACAACAGCTCCTTCTGGGTGTTGCCTATCCCCACCGGAGTCTCGCAAGAATTGCAGATTAATTCTGGAATTTCACTGCAAGCAAAGAGCTGGGAGAAAAGATTGCTCTCAAAATGGGAGAAGCTAAGAGACAAATCCCGCGAATTAGTGATCAGTTTTTCGATGGGCTTTGTTGTGTTTTCTGCGTTTAGTTCAGACTGGCATTGCAGTGTAATCATTTTTGGAGGATGTGGTTGATGCAGGAAAGTCTACTGTTTATTGCCCATCTTTAATTGTCTGGAACAGTTGGTGGTGGGTCCTTTCCTCAATGGTAATGTCTATCACTGGATGGAGTACTCCTGAGCAGATGTGGAGATGGGAAACCAGATGTTGACTTCCTGCCGGGGTCTGTTGAGAGGATTATGTATTCCCCACCCCACAAGGTCTGGTATCCAGATGTGCTCAGAGTTCCTTCATTTTACAAGTACGGTCATTTGGTTTCTGTGCCCTGCAACTGTATCGGTAGATGGAGGAGATAAGGAAACGTTAGAGTGGCACCGCTGCCTCACCAGTGCCGGGGACCCAGGTTCGATTCCAGGCTTGGGGTGACTGTCAGTTTGTGTGTTCTCCCAGCATTTTCTCCGATTTCCTGCCACAGTCCAAAGCTGTGTAGGTTAGGTGGATTGGTAAATTGCTCAATAGTGACCAGGGATGTAGATGGAATTAATTGGAATGGCTCTTCAAAAGAGCCTGCAGAGACTCCCTGAGCCAAATGGACTCATTTGTATTGTGCTATCATACGTAACTGTAGAAAATGCAGAAACCAATTTGCATCCTGCAGCAACGTGACAATGAATGTTTTCGTTATGTTGGTTGAGGGATAGATATTGGTCAGGAGACCTGAAGATAACCCCAGTGTCACTCGCAGGGTCATTACATCTTGTACATCCACCTGAGAGGGCAGACAGCTGTGAATAGTGAGAAAGGAAAAAGTTGGCACGGTGGCTCAGTGGTTAGCACTGCTGCCCCACAGCGCCAGGGACCCGGGTTCAATTCCAGCCTGTCTGTGTGGAGTTTGCATGTTCTCCCAGCGTCTGTGTATGTTTTCTCCGGGTGCTTTGGTTTTCTCCCACAGTCCAAAGATGTGCAGGTTCGGGTGGATTGGCCATGCTAAATTGCCCATAGTGTCTAGGGTGGGAAATGCAGGGATGGGGTGGGACCAGGTGGGTCTCGGTGGGATGCTCTTTGGAGGGTCGGTATGGACTCAAAGGGCCGAATGGCCTGCTTCCACACTGTAGGGATTCCATAAAAAGGGGAGGGAAGTAACATTTAGGCATGTCTTGTGGCTGAGGGGGTAGTGTCACTGTCTCTGAATCAGAAGCTCCCAGTTTAAGCCCCACTGCAGCACTAGAAATCCAAGGAAGGTGTGTTCATAACACGGGACTAATAAGGTACAACCCCAGAGGTGAGGGGGCTTTGTCTTATGAGGAGAGATTGAGCAGTTTAGGCCTATACTGTCTCTGGAGTTTAGAAGAATGAGAGGCGATCTAATTGAGGTGTATGAAGGGGATTGACAAAGTAGACATAGAGAGGATGTCTCCTCATGTGGGGCAACCTAGAACAGGAGGTCATAGTTTTAGGATAAGGGAGGGCAGATTTAAAACAGTGATGAGGAGGAATTACTTCTCTCAAAGGGTCATGAATCTGTGGAATTCACTTCCCCAGAGTATGGTGGACATTGGGACATTGGGTAAATTTAGGGAGGAGGTGGACAGATTTTTGATTAGTAATGGGTTAAAGGGTTATGGACAGCGGGCAGGAAAGTGGAGCTGAGATAGAGATGATCTCAATGAATGGTCGAGTAGGCTCAAGGGGCTGAATGGCCTACTCCTGCTGCTGGCTTTTACGTTCTTGCGTACCGACCTGTAAGGTATCGCAATGCAGCAGTGGCAGGCAGTAAGGACAGGGAATCTCCTAGTTAGCCATGCTCGATGTAGAGTGGTGCACCTCCAACTGCAGAGACAAATCCAGCTAATTAGTGATCAATTCATTCAGGCTAACACCCTGCTCCATGAAAAGCAAGACATAAACATGTGCTTTGTCTGCCTCATGTGTCTCTAGATGTCTTCTAACTCTAGAATCCTCTCCTAAATTTTTCCTTCGGGGCAGCTCCTGATATGTCGGAACTACAAAGGAGATGTGGATATGTCGGAGATCGAGCACTTCATTCCAATGTTAACACAGAAGGAAGATGAAGGGTCCGTGTCTCCACTTCTGACTCATGGCAATGTTCACTTCCTGTGGATTAAGCACAGCAACCTGTACTGTATCCTTTCTGTGGAACGGAGAACAACTCCATCCAATGGTAAATCAGTACTCGGAATGGTCTGGAGCCATTGGTGATAATAGACCCACAGGCTCTTCAAATACACCATTTCACTGTAGACAGGGTTGAGCTGAAATGCTGAATGAGCTTTTACATTCTATTGCTATTAACTTGACTACTCTCTTCCCTCTCTCTCTCTATTCCACACACACCCCCCACTCTTTCTCTCTTGCTGTCTCTCTCCCCTGTCTGCATCTCACCTCTCCCCAACTTTACCTCTTCCACCCCGCCTTCCTGTTTCTCTCTCTCTCTCTTTCTCTCTCTCCTCCATCTTTCTTTCCCTCTTCCCCACCGCGCGCTTTCTCTCTCCTCTGTCTCTCTTTGTCTCTTCCCTGTCTCTCTTTCTTTCTCTCTCCCCTCATTTCTCTTTCTCTGTCTTCCCCCCATCTCTCTTTCTCTGTCTTCCCCCCCGTCTCTCTTTCTCTCTCCTCTCTCCCCTGTCTCTCTCTCTTTCTCTCTGTCCCCCTTTTCTCATTCTTTTTGACTCGCCCTCTCTCTTTCTCTTCCTGTCTTTCTCTATCTCTCTTTCTGTCCCCACCCACCCATTCTTTCTCCCTGTCTGCCTCCCTCTCACTGTGTTCGTTTCTCTATCTGCTTGTCTCTCAGGGAGACTTAAGTCTTCCTTCCTGTCATTGTGCCCAAGTTATTAGACCGTGACAATTCAAATGCAAGTCTGAATGGGAAATGTTGACAAAGGGATTTACAATGTGGAAATACGAAGAGAATATTGCGACAACATAAAATAAGATTTATGGCCAAAAACAGTCAATTTTGCATTAGATTTTTTGGAATGGATGATGTGGGAAAACTGACACTAGTGTCTGCTCCAGCGACGTTAGAGTTTTGAAGAAAAGGGACATTGCGACAACGTCTTACCTGTCTAATTAACATGTTTCACAATTCTCTTTCTCATCCCTCTCCCGTGTGCTCCTGTCTGGTTCTGAGTTACGCCCAGTGTGTAAGTCTCAGATTTAATTCCTACCCTACAGTGAGGTAATGGTCTCGGCTGGGACAGTTGTGTGGAAATTATTAGCTTCAGCTTCCCTGAGTGGGAGATGAGACAAATCTCCCACCAGCTTTCTGTTCTCCATCGTCATCATCCTGTAACCCACATAGGAGTCAGCAAGCATTGGGAGAAAGATGCTATTCTCATTGAAGACACTAACCTGTAATCTGAGCCAATCAAGGACTGGGCTGGTCTGGCTATAAGTATTTTGCATTACTGTTTAGTAAAGACCTTTGTGCTGGGCACCTCATATAGCAAACCTCCCGAGGGCAGTGTCTGACTCAAAAGGAACACACAGGATAGGAGCAAAGCCTTTTGGCTTTGAGCCAGCTCCCACCATTCAATGAGATCATGGCTGATTGACATGACCTTAACTCCAGTTTCCTGCCTTTCCCCCATAACCCTTGGCTCATTTGCCAATCTAAAATCTGTCTAACTTTGCCTTGAATATGTCTCCACTATACCCTCCGAGAGTTCCGAAGACTAATAGCCCTCCATTGTGGGGGGAGAAAAAATCCCTCCTCATCTGTTTGGAGCAGGAGATCTGTTTTTTTTTCCTAAAAACGATGCTCCCCTAGTTCGTGTCTGTGTGGACTGTCCCTGACTGTCTGTTTGGGGTTTGCACGCTCTCCCCGTGTCTGCGTGGATTTTCTCCGGGTGCTCTGGTTTCCTCCCACACTCCGAAGATGTATAGGTTAGGGTGGATTGGCAGTGCTGAATCACCCATAGTGTCCAGGTGGGTGGGTTAGCCATGGGAAATGCAGGGTTACAGGGATAAGGGTGGGAAGCCGTTCGGAGGGTCAGTGTGGACTCGGTGGGCCGAATGGCTGCTTCCAGGCTGTGGGGATTCTATGATTCTAGTTGTAGATTTCCCTTCTACCTGACCCCATGACTGGAAAAAGCATCTACCCTGTGAAGTCCCCTCTGAGAGCCTTGTATGCCTCAGCGCAATCTCCTCTCATTCTTCTAAACTCCAAACAGTATGGGCTTGACCTCTCTTCATTAGCCAACTCCCTCATTCCAAGAATCAGCCAAGTGAACCTTCTCTGAACTGCGGCCAACGTAAGTAGGTCTTGCCTTTTAAGTAAGAAGAACAGGGGCCGTGGTGAAACCCTGAGAGCATTTTGCATCACCATGGCACCTGACAGCCATTGGAACAGGGATAGGCCATTCAGCCCCTCAAGTCTGTTATGCCCTTCAGTATGACCGTGGCTGACCTGTGTCCTAACTTAGGGAAAGCATCTTCTGGCATTCTTGCTTCTGACTACTGTTTCCTCCACCGGGTGGGCTTGTGCACGGGTTCCAGCAGAGTTTTGCGTCAGCTCCGTTGTCCTTTCGTCCTGGAGCTGGAAGGTAAGTTTCAGATCTCGGTGAAGCGCCAGAGCCAGCCAGCAATCCACACCCTTCAAACCAGATCGTGACTATGTGTCGGGAGAAGAGATAAACAGGTCGGTCGAAAAGCTATTGATGTGATACATTGAATACGGCCAAGTGTTTTCTTAACCTGGTGATCAGTGGTCGCAACTACGACAAAAAATGCGAACGCCTCCCTTGTCTATGCATTTTTATACAAAATCATACAGGTAAGAGACCTCCCATCAACCATTGCACAACTAGACTCCAAAGTGTCACTTATCCAGTGATTTAAATATAGAGTCCCTCTCTCTGAGATAGAAGCTTTGGTTTTGAGTCTCGTTCCAGGACGTTGGTAAAATTCACACTGTGGCCAAACAAACTGAGTGTCAACTTGTACAATCTTCCAATGCCCACCAGTGGCAGATAGAAACAGTGGGAGAGATTTCTAGCTTACTGTTTGATGGAAAATCCTTGGAGCTCGTCCCATCACTATGCGTAGCTCCAGGCTGCAGCATGCATTAAATCTGTGTGTGTTCTTCAAAGCACCCAATGTTACTGAGTGAGCAAAACACATCATCATCACTGACAAATGGTCGAACAAAATCACCAAAGAAACTCTCTAAACTCCTCAGGGTTGCTGTGAGGAATTAACCGAGTCTGTTCCTAAAACCAGGCAGCAGCCCCCAACCATAAGATGAAGTCGGGTCAGATGTGGGGGCACCCATGGTGGCTGGACTCTCCTGAGTTGGGAATGAGCCTGGCACATCGGGAAGATCCCACGGTCCGTGCCTCTCGGAGTTGGGACTCCCAGCTAGTCGCCTGGGGTAGGAGGAGAGGAAAGGACCAATCAGCCAGGGCAACTTGCTCCTGGAACACAATTGTACGGACTTCCAACGGAAAGTGTGTAGACATTGGAGAGGGTGGGTGGGTGGGTTGGGTTTCACTCTCTCTAGTTTGCCCAGCAGCACCCATTGTCAATGTTGACAGGGGGATGAAATAGTAGAGGGCCATCTGGTGCCCTGGTTCGCAAGAATCAGCATCTTAAGGAGAGATGTTGCTTGGCGAATTAGAGAAGGGAGATTTTGTCCGACCCATTCAGCTCTCAAAGGTCCCACGATGGGATCTCAGTCTTGTCTTATGCATATTGACCAGAACAGGAGGGCTAGTTATCACAAGCTGTGAGTGATCTGGGCTCATCAGGTGGTTAAAAGACAGAGTTCCTGGTCTAATGACACCACCTCAACCCCACCAGCACCAACAACAATCCAGGAAACAGAGATGTCTGGTTAGGGTCGGATCAAGTTCTTATTTTCCTTTCTCTTTGGTCTTTAGACTTGGATCTGAAATCTCTCCCTTTTATTTCATAGCAGGGGATGTGATTGGCTGGGCCCACATTTATTGTCCGTTGTTTTTTTTCGCTTATACCTGTGTCTCCTAAAAACTCCAATCTACACTCTCCCCAGGTCTTCACCGAATACTTTAAGGAGCTGGAGGAGGAGAGCATTCGAGACAACTTTGTCATTATCTATGAGCTCCTGGACGAAGTGATGGATTTTGGTTTCCCACAGACAACGGACAGCAAGATCCTTCAGGAGTGAGTGCGTTCGCGGCTAATCCCACTGCCTGTGGATCCAATTCGGGGACAGACCTAGGGGTCATTCGCTGTGCAGAGATCTCTTCCATAAGGCATTGTGTGGGACCTGATCGGATGAACCAGTGTGTCTTTTCCAATTGCCATCTCTTATAAATGCCTGTGGAATACAATATCGTAGACTCCCTCTTCCATACAGGAACAGGAGAAGTCTATTCAGGCCCTTCAACCTGTCCCACTATTCAATGCTATCCCCTGGCAAACACTGCACCTACCTGAATAAGAAAAGAAACCATCAGTCTCTTGTTTTTGAAGTTTCTCAAGTTACTAAACTTAGGAATAGGAGCAGAAGGAGGCCATTCGGCCCTTCAAGCCTGCTCCAGCATTCATTACGATCCTGGCTGATCATCTGACTCTTGTTCCTGCTTTGACTAAATTAACTTAGGATAATTTTGGTCTTCAGAAGAAATGTTTCCCCGTTTCACTCCTGAAAGGCCAAGCTGTATTTTTGGGGCAACGACCTCACAAACTCGGCTGGAGATCTCTTGAATATAGGGCCAAGGTGTGAGGAGAATCCTGTTTGTGTGAGAAAACCTGTTTGTTAATGATGATAAATCTGTTGTTGTTTTAACGTAGAATACGCACTCTGCCCCCTTTCTCCAGCCTTTCCCTACCCATCATGCCATCCCAAGAAACCCCAGGCAAGACTTGCACCCAGACTGACTGGGTTCATTCTTCTGGCCCTGGAGCTGAATGAGCCACTCCTGTTTGCTGTGGGGCTGATACAAAAGCTCATGTTGTGAAGCTTGTCCTAATTCAGTGCCCTGAGATGCACCAGGATCATGGCTTTGAGCCCCCTTCCCAGTCAGAGAATGGTCACTGTCTGCAGCCTGGTTTGTGAGAACTCCCCATTCTCCTTTTTTTCCAGTAGGATCTTGTCTAATTTTGGGGCTTGCCCCAATTTCTACCGTAATTCTGTGACTCTCTTTGTGTCTAAAAATCTATGGATCTCAGACTCGAATGTAGAATCCCTACAGTGCAGCTAGAGGCTGTTTGGCCCATCAAGTCTGCACCAACCTCCCAGTCAGAACCCCCACCCAACCAACCCTCTTGCTGTAACCCTGCATTTATACACCCAGGGACTGGACCTCTACAGCCCTCCCTGGTTTAGGGAACACCAAAGTTTAATTGCCCCTCTGAGAAAGGTAATTTCTCCTCATCCCAATCCAACAAGACCCAACCCCATATCCCCCACAACCCCCAACCCAATCGTGAGCCTGTGGCCGCTACTTCATGGAATCATAGAACAGGCCATTCGGCCCAACAAGTCCACACTGCCCCTCCGAAGAGCAGCCCACCCAGACCAATTCCCCTACCGCTGCATGCCCCATGTCTAACCTACCCATCCCTGGGCACTATGGGCAATTTAGCATGGCCAATCCACCTAACGTGCACATCTTTGGACTGTGGGAGGAAATCGGAGCACCCGGAGGAAACCCATACAGACACAGGGAGAATGTACAAACACCACACAGACAGTTGACTGAGGGTGGAATCGAACCCGGGTCCCTGCTGTTGTGAAGCAGCAGTGTTAACTATTGAGCCACCGTGCCGCCGTACTTCTAAAATCTCTAACCAGGGGGTGGAGGCTCTTTACATTTGCCCCAGTGCTTCCCCCCACAACCAATTTCCCATGTGACCCACCTTTTGAGAGGCTGGGAAATTGTCACGACCCCTTCAGTGGGAGGGAGCAGGGGAAGGGGAGCGGGATTTGGGAGCAGGGTCCTGATAGAGTGGGAGAACAACTGTTACTGTTTCGAGCTCCACGGTGAACACTGTGGCCTCGAGCTCGTGACCGCAAAATATCAGCTCACTTGGGGTCATGACCCTCACTGTGGGAATCCCTGATTTACCCTGTTGGGGTGCCCTCCAGAACTTTAGCCATTTCAATGAGTTCATCTCATTCTCCTCTAAACGTCAGGCAATATGTTGTAACTACGGGGTGGGGAGTGTGTGGGGGGAAGCCAAAAGCCTTGTTATTCTTCACCTGATTGGTCATTTCCTGTTAATCTAGAGTAAAACCTAGTCCCGGGCCCTCAGAGCACCTTTTGTAACAGGATGTGATGTCGCAGATTGGCTTCCTATTCTTTCCATCATTTTCCGTAACGCCATTACCCCCTTACCCCCAGCTTACTCCAGAGACAGTGAGGAGGGTTGCTAGGCCTCAATTGTTGACCAGAGCTGAATCCAACCTGGTTGAATGCTCCTCGGACCCATCCCCAGGTTGGATTACTTTTCCATGAATTGAGCTGCTCACGGCTCTGTTTTGAGCCCATGACCTTTCAGCAGAAGTAGACTGAGTGAAAGCTTCAACAGTCTGTTCGGGAGAGGAGGGGCAGCGAAGATTGGGGATACGAGCAGTCTGGAGAACAAACCAACGATGGCGCAAGGCCAAGAGGGAATCAAGAAAGAAAAGATGGCACCCCTCTGAATCGAGGACGGGAAAGACGAGTCGGGTGGCACGGTGGCTCAGTGGTTAGCACTGCTGCCTCACAGCGCCAGGGACCTAGGTTCGATTCCACCCTCGGGTGACTGTCTGTGTGGAGTTTGCACATTCTCCCCGTGTCTGCGTGGGTTTCCTCTGGGTGCTCCGGTTTCCTCCCACAGTCCAAAGATGTGCAGGCTAGGTGGATTGGCCATGGGAAATTGCCCGTAGTGCCCAGGGGTGTTTAGGTTAAGTGGGTTAGACATGGGAAATTAGGGGTAGGGGAATGGGTCTGGGTGGGATGCTCTTTGGAGGGGCGGTGTGGACTTGTTGGGCCGAATGGCCTGTTTCCACACTGTAGGGATTCTATGAACATGGCGCCGCACGGTCGTGGGGGTTCATTTTCAGTTTCCACTCTGTGTTTCTTTGTCTTGTTGTGTTCGGATTGAGAGTGAGGCCGAGCTGACTCACGAGGCTTGCTTTTGTCTCAATCGAACAGGTACATCACGCAACAAGGACATAAACTGGAGGTAGCTGCCCCACGGCCTCCGGCCACCGTTACTAACGCAGTGTCCTGGAGGTCAGAGGGCATCAAGTACAAAAAGAACGAGGTGTTTATTGACGTCATTGAAGGGGTCAACGTATTGGTAAGTGTTGCCTTCTGAAGGGAGCAGTTGGCTTTGCTTAGCCTGTCAGCGTCCTGGGCTTATGCTTGGAAACTAGGGTCTAGGCCCGAAATGTCAGCTTCCCTGCTCCTCTGATGCTGATTGGCCTGCTGTGTTCATCCAGCTCTACACCTAGTTATCCCAGTTCAATATAGCCAGCTTGTGTTTAATGCTGCTTTTTCTTCAGCGTGGGAATAATGTTCAAGGTTGCTTAGTGGGAATGTAATTCATTTCAAAATGGGCCAATCAAAGGAAAAGGCTTCAGGAGTGGTGGCTACTGTTGGTCAAAGGTGCCTTAATGAGGAGGCTGGTGAGGGAGCTGGGGAGGTGAAGAACTTCAAAGACAATGTTGCAGTGTTTGGGCCCCAGGAAGTTGATGGTATGGCCAATGAGTTGGAGAAAGGTGAGGTTTGGGCCAGGGGTCAGAGGAGTTGGCGGACGGGCTCAAGTAGGTTGAGGAACAAGGCGGTGAAAGGATTTCAATGCAGAGCTAGTTTTAACTTTGAGGCTAAGGGTGTGGGGAAACTACACACACTGCTCCAGGTATGGTCTAACCAGGGCTCTATACAATTGAAGCAAGTCTTTGCTAAGCTTGTACATAACTCATAGAGTACATTGGTGAGGCCTCTTTCGGAGTGCTGTGTCCAATTCTGGTTGCCCTGTTATAGGAAGGATATTACTGAGCTGGAAAGGGTTCAGAAAGCGGTTTACCAAGATGTTGCTGAGAATGGAGGGTTTGAGTTATGAGGACAGGCTGGATGGGCTGGGGCTTTTCTCACTGCAGCATAGGAGGTTGAGGGGTGACCTTATGGAGGTTTATAAAATCATGAGGGGCATAGATAAGGTGAACGGCAAAAGTCTTTCCCCGAGGGTGGGAGAGTTCAAAACTAGGGAGCATATTTTTTAAGGTGAGAGGAGAAAGATTTAAAAAAGACACGAGGGACAGAATTTTCACACCGAGTGGATTGGTGTGGAGTGCAATTCCAGGGGAAGTGGTGGATGTGGGTACAGTTACAACGTTTAAATGGGATTTGGATAAATACACGAATAGGAAAGGTTTGGAGCACAGTCAGGCGGGACTAGTTTAGTTAGGGACTCGGTCCATCATGGACTGGTTGGGCTGAAGGGTTTGTGTCCGTGCTGTATGATTCTATGCAATCATCTTGCAATAAAGGCCAACACGCATTCCCAACAGCCCGCTGCACCAATCTGTTTGCCTTCAGTGACCTCTTGACAAGGACAACCAGCTCCTTTCGTACATTGACACTTTCTAACCTCTAACCATTTGAGAAATACCCTGCACATCTGAGGGGGCTACTTCACCCCTGACATCACATGGGTCACACGTTTTCCATCCAAGCATTTAAGCAACTCTGTTATTGAACCTCCCTCGTGAGTCAGCACACTCCAGATTTACAGTTACTGCTGTGCTTGTTACTGTTTTGAAATAAAACACGGTTCCTCTTTGTCACTTCTGAGTCTTTTGCAAATCGTCTTAAGTCTGTGTCCTCTGGTTACTGCCCTGTGTGTTTCTGGACACAGTTTCTCCTTACCATATTTACTCTAGCAAAACTCTTCATGATTTTGAATGCCTTGTTGAAATCTTCTCTTCACTTTCTCTGCTCAAAAGGGAACAGCCCCAGTGTCTCTGGGTTCCCCACCAGTCCCTTCTTTCTGCTCCCATCGCAGTAAAATCGCTTCGTTACCCCACCTCCCCAAGGCCAAGGTATGATTAGATCGGGGCTAAGATGGGAGGTAAGTGGGATGGACTGTGGTCCTTTATTTGTAAATCCTAGGATGTTTTTTTTTTCTGCTTACTCCTCTTCGTCTTTGGGCAGGTCAGCGCCAACGGGAACGTTCTGCGGAGCGAGATTGTAGGCAGTGTGAAGCTCCGAGTTTTTCTGTCTGGAATGCCGGAACTGCGGCTGGGGTTGAACGACAAGGTCCTCTTTGAGCTAACAGGACGTAAGTAGCTTGTAGGAGCGTCTTTGTCAACTCGGGCAGCCATCTCATCAAATGGGATAACCCAAAGAGCTCTGCAATCAGAGGAAGTGGTTGCTTTGTGTGCAGGAGATCATTTTTCCTGGAGAAGTGATGAGAATGTGGCTCATCCCCTTTAATGCTCCGTCTCGGGTAGAAACTAATGTCACCATGCTCCCACTGTCTCATTAGAGAGAGAGATGATTGGTGGTGAGTTTAACCTGAAGGTCACCACACCTCAAAGAGACAGATGAGGTCCAGAAGGCAGGACCTTCATGGTAACCACAGCTAGGACAGGAATTGAACCCACACTATTGGCATCATCTGTGTTCCAAACCAGCCATCCAGCCCAACTGAACTAACTGACCTTGTGCTAGATCTGAAGACCAGTTATAGCCTCCTTTATTTGATGTTCCTCTGTTTTAGCAGCTGATTTGTTATCTCCCTCCAATTAACTGCAACTCTCAAAAAAGTCATGATGTAAACAGATTTTGTTTTCTACATTTCAAATTCTTCATTGATGTGGTTTCTCTCTCTCTCTCCCTCTGTCTCTATTTATCCATATATCTCTCTGTATCTTTCTTTCTGACTCTTTCTCTCCATCTCTCTCTCTTCTCTCTCTCTTTTTCATTCTCTTTCTCTCATTCTCTCTCTGTCTTTCTCTCTGTCTATCTTTCTATCTATCTTTTTCTATCTCTTTCTCTATCTCTATCCTTATGTCTCTACTTCTGTCTCTCTATTTCTATCTATCTCCCTCTTCCCCCCTCTCTCTATCCCCTCACCCCCTCTGCCTCCCTCTCTCTCTTTTGCTCTCTCTTTTTCTCTCTCTCTCTTTCTCTGTCTATCTTTCTCTCTCTCTATCTTTCTATCTATCTTTCTCTATCTATCCCTCTCTCTCTATCTCTATCCTATATCTCTACTTCTGTCCCTCAATTTCTATCTCTCTCTTCATCTCTCTCTCTCTCTCTAGTTATCCATCTCTTACCTTTCTTTCTGCTGTGCTCTCTCCTTTATTTTTTAAAATCGCAATTTAATCAGAAAAGACCTTTAGGTCTTGCACACTGCATCCAGATCTTGCTAACGCTTCTCCCTTCTCGTCGGGTTTAGGAGGCAAGAGTAAATCTGTCGAGATGGAAGATGTGAAGTTCCACCAATGTGTGAGACTGTCCCGTTTTGAAAATGACCGGACAATATCTTTCATTCCCCCAGACGGAGATTTCGAACTGATGTCTTATCGACTGAACATCCACGTGAGTGAGGAATGGTCTGAATTATATGTTGTTTTCCACTGTGTCCCTCTGTTTTCTTGTGAAGTACAGATGATAGTGAGGGGGTCAACCTTCCACAAAGAGGAGGGGTGTGATGCAGTCGTAATGTCATCGGATAAGTAACCCAAAACCCCAGGCTAATGTTCTCGGGAAGTAGAATCAAATCCATCCAGGGCTGATGGTCAAACTTAAATTCAATTAAAAGCTGGACTGACCACAGTTGATTGTTGTTAACATTCATCTGGTTCACTAATGTCCTTTGGGGAGGGAAATCTGCCGTCTTTACCTGATCTGATCTACATTGATTGATTTATTGTCACATGTCCCGAAGTACAGTGAAAAGCTTTGTTTACGAGCAGATCAAGGATGTACAGATCAAAAAGACTCAAACAGAGGCTTACAGGTTACATTGCACAGGGCCAGCGCTAGACGAGTTCAACATTAGCAAGCTCAGCGTTATTTTAGGCTAGAGAGTCCACTCATCAGTCTGGTAACGGCCAGGAAGAAGGTGTTTCTGAACCTGCTGGTGCTTATGTTCAGGCTTCTGTATGTTCTGCCTGACAGAAGGGGTTGTAGGAGATCATTATCGCGATGCAATGAGTCTTTGATGATGTAGGCAGCCTTTCTGCAACAGTGAGCCATTGTAATTGGAGCCCATGGATGGAATGTTAGGCTTCCGTGATGATCTGGGCTGTGCACACCACCTTCTGTAGTTTCTTATGGTCCTGGGCACAGCAGTTGCCATACCAGGGCGTTATGCACACAGGCAGTATGGCTCCAGACCCACAGCCATGTAAAAAGTTGGGAGTTATGTTGTGGTTGTACAGGACATAGATGATGCCTCTTCTGGAATACTGTGTCCAGTTCTGGTTGCCCTGTTATAAGAAGGATATTATTAAACTGAGAGGATTCAGGAAAAAATTACCAGGATGTTGCTGGGAATGGAAAGCTTGAGTTAAAAGCATAGGCTGGGAATTTTTTCTCTGGAGCACAGGAGTTGAGGGGTGACCTAATTGAGGTTTATATTATCATGAGGGGTATAGATAAGGTGAATGGCAAAAGTCTTTTCCCTAGGGTGGAGGAGTTCAAAACTAGGGAGCATATTTTTAAGGTGAGAGGAGGAAGATTTAAAGAAGACGTGAGGGGCAACTTTTTTTACACGGGGAGTGGTTTGTGTGTGGAATGAACTGCCAGAGGAAGTGGTGGGTGTAGGTACAGTTACAGCATGTAAAAGACATTTAGATAAGTACATGAATTACAAAGGTTTAGAAGGAAATGGGCCAAAAGCAGGCAGGTGGAACTAGTTTAGTTTGGGATTGTGGTCGGCGTGGACTGGTTGGACCGAAGGGTCTATTTCCGTGCTGTATGACTCTATGTGGTTGGGTCTTAGTTGCTTTTGGATTTGTTTTTTATTGGTTAGGCCAGTATTCATTGCCCATCCCCAACTGTCCAGAGAATTGAGAGTCAACCACTTTGCTGTGGGTGTGGAGTCACATGTAGCCCAGACTGGGTAAGGATGATAGATATCCTTCCCTGAAGGAAATTAGTGAGCCAGATGGGTTTTGATGACAATTGACAATGGTTTCATGGTCATCAGTAAACTCTTAATTCCACATATTTTTATTGAATCCAAATTTCACCATCTGTCGCGGCGAGATTCAACCTCATGTTTAAAGTCATAGAGTCATACAGCATGGAAACAGACCCTTCAGTCCAACTAGTCCATGCTGACCATGTTCCCAAACTAAACTAGTCCCGCCTGCCTGCAATTGGTCCATATCCCTCCAAACCTTTCCCATTCATGTGCTTATCCAAATGTCTTTTAAACGTTGTAACTCTACCAGCATCCACCACTTCCTCTGGCAGTTCATTCCACAGACGAACCACTCTCTGTGTTTTAAAAAGAAATCCCCTCATGTCTTTTTAAAATCTTTCTCTTCTCACCCTAAAAATATGCCTCCTAGTTTTGAACTCCCCGACCTTAGGGAAAAGACCCACGCTATTCACCTTATCTATACCCCTCATGATTTTATAAACCTCTATAAGGTCACCCCTCAACCTCCTACGCTGCAGTGAGATAGTCCCAGCCCATCTAGTCTCACCTTATAATTCAAACCCTCCATCCCAGGCAACATCCTGGTAAATCTCTTCTGAAACCCTCTCATGCTTAATAGTTTCCTTCCTCTAACGGCAACCAAAACTGCACACAATACTCCAGAAGTGGCCTCACCAATGTCCTGTATAACCTCAACATGACATCCCAACTCCTATACTCAAAGGTCTGAGCAATGAAGGCACGTGTGCCAAAAGCCTTCCTAACCACCCTGTCTACCTGTGACTCAAATTTCAAAGACTTATGTACCCGAGCCCCTAGATCTCTCTGGTCTACAACACTAACGAGGGCCCTACTTTTAATTGTATAAGTCCTGCCCGTGTTTGTTTTACCAAAATGCAACACCTTGCATTTATCCAAATTAAACTCCATCTGCCACTCCTCAGCCCGCTGATCCAATCGATCAAGACCTCTTTGTAATTTTAGATGACAGTTTCTGAGAACTGAATCTCTGGATTAATAGTCTGTTGATAATACCTCTTGGCCATCGCCCCCCCACCCCCCGCTTTAATGCTGGATGAAATGGTCTAAGTGATGAACAAACCATTCAGTTCAAGGGCAATTAGGGATTGGCAACAAATGCTGGCCTCATCAGGAACACCCACATCCCATAAATGAATAAAAAGGAAACAAATGCCCTGACGATACTGGAAACCTTCTGGAACTTTCCTGAGGCCTGCTCTGGCTGTACATCCTCAGTCGAAGTAACTTTTGTCCTTGACAAGAAGAAAACAAATTGCTGGCAAAGCTCAGCAGGTCTGCCACATCTGTGGAGGGAGAAACAGAGTTCACGTTTCTGAAGAAGGGAAAAAAAAACAAATCAAAGAACAGCAGGTGCATGAAATCGGAAACGAGGACAGAAATGTTTGGGGAAACAAACTCAGCAGATCTGGCAGAAAGAGAAACAGGGTTAACATTACCTGGAGCTAGTAAGAACTGCCAATGCTGGAGTCAGAGATAATATAGTGTGGAGCTGGAGGAACACAGCAGGCCAGGAAGCATCAGAGGAGCAGGAAAGCTGACGTTTCGGCTCGGGACCCTTCTTCAGAAAAACATTAACTGGGTCCTTTCTGAATAAACATTAACTCTGTTTTTCTCGATCTGCAACTTCTGTTTTTGTTTCAGGTTGCCAGCATCCGCAATTCTTTATTTTCTCTTAATGTTTTCTTCTATTTGGTCGTGGGGTGTGTGCGTCAGGCCCAGCATTTATTGCATGCGCTGATGATAATGATCCCAGCTGGGAAACATTGAACAATGTGAAGCCAAACATGCTACACAGTGATTTAACCATCCTTTTCTTCAACTTCTGCTTTGTGTTTTTGAGTAGAATGGTAGAAAGGTTATAGGAGGAGGCTGTAGACAAAAGTGGCAGTGGGGAGGCAGTCAGAATCAGAGAGAGATAGAGAGCAGATCAGAGGGATGGCAATGCCAGGATGACATTACTAGCCATTTGTTGTGTGTCCAGTTCTCCATTTTGTAGGGCCCTAGAACTAGGTTAGACTTGGGCTCCTATGGAGTGCCTGTCTTTTCACTGAGTTCCCATAGAGTCTCCTTCCACCTCACTGTAGGAACTGCAGGAGTCAGCCATTCATACCCCCTCAATGTATCAGGAAGAGTTTTGTCACAGAGTCATGGAGTTGTACAGCAGACCCTTAGGTCCAACTCGTCCATGCCGACTTAGATATCCTAAATTAATCTAGTCCCATTTGCCAGCATTTGGCCCATATCCCTCTAAACGCTTCCTATTCATATACCCATCCAGATGCCTTTTAAATGTTGTAATTGTACCAGCCTCCACCACTTCCTCTGGCAGCTCATTCCATACACACACCACCCTCTGCAAGAAAATGTTGCCCCTTAGGTCCCTTTTAAATCTTTCCTCTCTCACTTTAAACCTATGCCATCCAGTTTGTACTCCCCTACCCTGGGGTAAAGACCTTGGCTATTCACCCTATTCATGCCCCTCATGATGTTATAAACCCCTGAGGGGTCACCCCTCAGTCTCCGACACTCCAGGGAAAAAAGCCCCAGCCTCTCCCTGTAGCTCAAAACTCTCCAACCCTGGCAACATCCTTGTAAATTTTTTTCTGCACCCTTTCAAGCTTCACAATATCTTTTCAGTAGCAGGGAGACCAGAATTGCATGCCGTATTCCAAAAGTGGCTGCACCAATGTCCTGTACAGCCACAACATGGCTTGCCGACTCTTATACTCAATGCTCTAGCTTCAACAACTGACCCAAGCTACGCTGTCAGCACCTTCTGAATGCCCAACCTCTACCATCTCGAATGACAAGGGCAGCAAACACACGGGAACACCACCGTTTGCAAGTTCCCCTCCGCACTGCTCACCACCCTGACTTGGAAATATATTCCCATTCCTTCAGTGTCGTTGGGTCAAAATCCTGAAATTCCCTCCCTAAGGGCATTGTGGATCTACTTAGAGTATAGGGGCTATGGTGGTTCAAGAAGGCAGCTAGCCACCATCTTCTCAAAGGGCAACTTAGGGTGGGCAATAAGTGGTGAGTGATGTCTACATCCCACGAATGAATAAAAGAAATGGATTTTATTGGGAACAATAACTAAAACAAAGCAGCAAGGGCATTCCGATGTTGTCAGGGGCTGAGGGTTACAGATACAAGCCTGCATTTCTCAGCCTAGCATGCAGTGATAGTGTCCTGCCTCTGAGCCAGGAGACCTGGGTTCAAATCCCACCCAGTACCAGTGGTGCGTCATAAAATCTCTGAGTGTTTTTTTTTTCAGAAAATATCCCCGGTAAAACATATTGACTTTGTTCATTGATTGGAATGTTTTAAGAAATGAAAACTCATATTAAGAATTCTTTTTTTTGTTCAGGTGAAACCTCTGATTTGGATTGAATCTGTGATCGAGAAGTTTTCCCACAGCCGAGTGGAATATCTGATCAAGGTAAAAGAAATTCCTCAAATTCCACTTCCTGAATACTGAGTGACTGATTGAAACAGCCTCAGATCAGCCATGATCATATGGAACAGTGGAGTTCGCTTGAGGGGTCCCGGCCCATATCGAGATTCCAATTTAACTTTTAATTGAAGTTTTAATTTATTCATGGTATGTGGGCACCAGCTTTTATTGCCCATCCCTATTTGCCCAGAGGTTGTTAAGAATCAACCACATTGCTGTGGGTCTGGAGTCACACGTAGGCCAGACCGGGTAAGGATGGCAGACTTCCAGAATTAGCAAACCAGATGGGTTTTTACAACCTGGTTGCTATCAGGCTAACTTTCTACTGAATTCAAATTTCACTGTTTGCTACGTCAGAATTTGAACCCACGCGCTCATCCTTTTCTCCTCAGGATCCTTGTAGTTCGACGATCATGGTTTTTTTGTCCTGATGGTCCTTGAGGGGGCAAGGCGAGGGTGTAGACTTCAAGAACTACCTCAGCAGGTGGACGGTATTGTAACCCCTGCTGTTGGTGTTATCCAGTACCATGCCGTAGCCATCTCTCCAAATGAGCTAATCGGTCCCCTGTGATGGTACGTCCATGGAATCTCTGGCAGGGAAGTCTGTCCCCTTTCCACACTCGCCCAGCGATCCCCAAAAGAAATGGGCAAGTGCCCAGCGTCAGAAACAGCCTGGGTTGTGGTGCCTGTGTGGCGCATTAGCCAGTTGGCATGTTCTGTCCCGGTGAAGAGAGGGTATGAGAGTGAGCTCTGGGTGGCTTGCACACCGCGAGCAGTCTCTGCGTTTCAGAAACGAGATGAGAGATTAGGTGACGAGACAGGTGTTGATGTCTTCCTCCAGGCTAGGAGCCAATTCAAGAAACAGTCGGTGGCCAACAACGTAGAGATCGTCATCCCTGTGCCCAGCGATGCTGATTCACCCAAGTTCAAGACGACCATGGGCAGTGCCAAGTGGGTTCCTGAAAATAACACTGTAGTGTGGACCATCAAATCCTTACCTGTGAGTAGGAGTTTTTACACTGCGTTCAGCGAAAGCCTAGGTGAGCCATCCACACCTCCGGGGCTGAGTCAGATGGTCAGGGGTCCCGAGCCCCGTTTGAGATCCGTGGCCTGGAATCGCATTCCAGGCTAGCGCTGTCAGAGGTGCCAGCACTCTAATGTGACAGGAAAACGATGCCCCCCCAACCCACCAACCCTGGGTGGATTTTAAAGATCCCCACAGCAGTCGCTCTGAAGAAGAGTGAGCAGACTGATACCTGTGTCTGAGCCAAAATCCACTCCTGCGTTAGCGACGCTGAAAAGTAGACAGTCTGATCATGAGCGCATTGCTGTTTGTGGGATCTTGCTGTGTATAAATCGCCTGCTGTGTCTCCTGCATCCCGACGGGGATGACACCTCTGATAAGTCTCCCACTGGGCTATAAAGCATTTTGGAATGACCTGGGGTTTTGAAAGGTGGTATACAAATGCAATTGGATTTATTTAGCAATGCAAAGCCCTGAATCCCGAAGAGTGCCCGTTATTCCATTGAGAGGACATTCCTGGACAATATGCAGTTTTGTTTGTGTCACTCCTCAAGTGCAGAAGGAGGTTTTTTTATGAAATTCATTCATGAGACGGGGGCGTCGCTGGCTAAGCAGCATTTATTGCCCATCCCTAATTGCCCAGAGGGCACGTAAGAGTCAACCACATTGCTGTGGGTCTGGAGTCATGTGTAGGCCAGACCAGGTAAGGATGGCACTTTCCTTCCCTAAAGGGCATTGGTGAACCCCAGATGAGTTTTTCCTGACAATCAACAATGGACTCGTGGTCATCATAAGACTCTCAATTCCAGATTCTTATTTTATCCAAATTCCATGGTCTGCTGGGGTGGGATTCGAACACGGGTCCCCAGACCTGGCTCTCTGGATCAACAGTCTAATGATAATGCTGCTGGGTCATCGCCTCCCATTGCTTCTACTGGTGGGTCAGCTGTGGAGGTTGATAGCTCAGACACTGTGGCCTTTCCTGAACCTGTTTAGCCAGGAGCCCTCTTGTGGTTGTTTCTGAAAGCCTTGTCTTCAACACAAAGATAGTAGGAACTGCAGATGCTGGAGAATCCGAGACAACAAGGTGCAGGGCTGGATGAACACAGCAGGCCAAGCAGCATCATAGGAGCAGAAAGGCTGACGTTTCGGGCCTAGACCGTTCATCAGAAAAGGTGAAGGGTCTAGGCCCAAAACGTCAGCCTTTCTGCTTCTATGATGCTGCTTGGCCTGCTGTCTTCAACACAAAGAGTTGCCTTTGCATGTAACATCAGTCTGAGGAAGTTTAGGGCCATCTCTGGAGTTGACCAGTCTGCTTCCTTTAAAGGCTGCAGCAATAGTGATCAAGGATAAAGAGAAAGGACAGAATTAGAGTAGATAACGTGGAATAAGTAATGGGGCCCAAGTGTTCTGCAATTTCTGGTTGCTTGCTCCGATATAATCAACTGGTCTTTCAGTCTTTTTTTTAATCTCCCTTCAGGGCGGGAAGGAATATCTAATGCGAGCTCACTTTGGCCTTCCGAGTGTGGAGAGTGAAAGCACCGAGGGGAAGCCACCCATTTCGGTGAAATTCGAAATCCCGTACTTCACCGTCTCGGGGGTGCAGGTCAGTGCAAACGTCTGATGAGGGAATTGTTAGAAAATGCTTGTCTAACACAGGTACCCTCAGACAGGGGTGGAGGGGGGGAAGCTGGTGACGGCAGCGTGTCTGGTCATGGTGGAGGAAGCAAGATGGCGGCCGAGAGCAGCCATTCTTTGCCTCAGCGGTGGTGAAGCGTGGCTGCAGCAGTGTCATTGGTTAAGTCGCATGGACTCGAGGCAATGGGGTGGAGGAGCACAGATCTAGCCCTGTGGCTGAGCTCGAAACCATTCCAAAGACCACCTGAGTTCGCTGAGCGATAACTCTTAAGAGATGAGCTTTGTTTTACTTTCCTGGCTTTGCATTCTCTCCCTGTTTTGGTTTTCTTTTCGGTGTTTTGAGGTGGCAACGGAGAGTGGCAAAATTTGTCAGTGTATGTGTAACAAATACAGGTGATAGTACATCAAAACAAACCCTAGCAAACCAAGCATAACCAGCTGGGCGCCTTAGCATTTTAGCGCCAGCGCAGGAACTGGAAGAAGCTGCTCAGCCCCTCGAACTTCTTCCGCCACCATTCAACCAGAACATGGCTGACCTGTGGCCAAACTCCACATGCCAGCCTTTCCCCTCGTGCCGTCACTGAACAGAGGTGGTCTGTCACAGGTTAACAATGGATTCGTAATTGACCCAACTTGAAGATGACTGTGGAGGGAGGTACACCATCAAAGCTTTTTTAGCGAAAGCTGTTCCCATGGCGACACCACTACCAATCGGAGTGCACCTGCCAATCAACCGGCATCATCTTCTCACGCAGTATAAATTGTTGTTCCCTCCTCTTGGAGATTTGGTATTCTTGCAATTCTGTCCTGATGAGTGCAAGACAAAGGACATTGACAACATGTTTCTTTTGACAGTAGTACTCAAAATGCTTATGACCGTATGTCTAACCGACCCAACATAGGAACAGAGGATGATGGGAATAGGCCATTCAGCCCATCAAGCCTTTCCCTACATTCAATATACTCATGGCTGATCAAACACTTCAAAACTGTTTACTTACCTCAATATCATCCCATAACTCTGCATGTTACTGGTAATCAGAAACCCATCCATCTCTACCTGCACATACTCAAATACTGAGTTTCCAGAGCCCTCTGGAATAGAAAATTCAAAACGTTCATGGCTCTCTGGTCGAAATTCTCCTTATCTCAGACCTAAGTGGCATCCCCCTTATTTTTAAACTGACTGCCAATGGTAATAGCTGTCATCTCTGTAGCCCATTTGTACCCTGTAGTATCAGCATTAAAAGGTTTTAATTCCAGAATCCCTTTGGTGTGGAAACAGGCCATTCATCCCAACAAGTCCACACTGACCCTCTGAAGACTGGCACCCCCACCCTATGCCTGTAATTCCCATAGCTAATCCATCTAACCTACACATCCCTGGACAATTTCCTGTGGCTAATCTACCTAACCTGTACACCTTTAGACTGTGGGAGGAAACCCAAGCAGACATGGGGTAGAGTATACAAACTCCACACAGACAGTTGCCTGAGGCTGGAATCGAACCTGGGTCCTTGGTGCTGTGAGGCAGCAGTGCTAACCACTGGGCCACCATGCTGCCCCCTTCAGCTTGCACTCAGTACTTAGTGAATCATTCCTCCTCTTCATTAACTCACTTTTGAATCCCAAGTTTACCATCATCTCATCTCTGTGGCTTGACTGGCCTTGATCTCGCTCCTAATTGTGGTTTCCTGCAGCTTAACCCATTATCTGGGTCTGTCAGTGGGTAGCTTTGAACAGCAGAATGCTGATGTAACTCTTCAAAAATGACTGGAACTTTTGAAATAACACCCGAGATAATAAAGAAAATTGAGCAGAGTGCAGGAGGAGCGACTGACTGTCCATCTTCTGGTGAAAACCTCCTCCCAGAAAAAATTCCCTTCACCTGACGAAGGGGCAGCGCTACGAAAGCTTGCGATCTCAAATAACCCTGTTGGACTGTAACCTGGTGCCGTGTGACTTATGACTTTGTCCACCCCAGTCCGACACCAGCCCCTCCACGTCAGAAAGATTTCAGTTGGAGACCTCTGTAACACGATTAACCCTTGTCTGTCTTTGTTTGCATCGTAGGTGCGGTACATGAAAATTATAGAGAAGAGTGGTTACCAGGCTCTGCCATGGGTCAGATATATCACTCAAAGTGGAGGTCAGTACTGACTTGCTGCAAGAGAGATATGAGTTTAAACCCTATAGTTTACTGTGTCCAGGCATTTTCACTATTCTGTTCTAATTGAAGAACAAATACATGTGCAATATGTTATAGACCAGACCAAACCCCCTCAAACTGTTCAGAAGATAGTCCAGACCCTAATATTTTCTTATTTCAAAGATAAGTGTGAGGTATTGCATTCCAGATATAATTCGACTGGTCAAGCAACCAGATTTAAAGCAAAACACACTTTATCCATCCACTATAGTTAAAATACAACAAAAGAAAGAAGGAATTGGAATAACTTAGCTCTACTGGAAAAATTAACAGAACAATAGATACAGTAACCATTACTAATGTAGTAACATCCTATAAGCACACCCTTGGCAAAAGGAAAATTTAGAATACAGATTGTCTCACCAGCAGCTCTTATAGTAGGAAGAGAGCCCCCAGCTTTTGGCTGTAACAAAGAGAGGGAAAACTAGCTTCCACTTCAAGACCCGCAACAGCAACTGCTCAAAGTTAAAACTAAAAATCCTGGTTCTATGGGAGCTTGACCACACCCATTCAGGCTGCTTCTATTGTTCCAAAGTTTAAAAAAAAACCCCAAGGCCTCACAAGCTGATTACTCTAGTGGCTCTAGTAGACTGCTCATTGCGTCTGCCTAAAAACCAGGACAAAATATACCTCTTAAAGCTACAGTGCTGTCACAAATGTATCCATTTAGACCTGTTTAGTCACATCATAATTTACTTTAGAATAGATCAAAGAATCCCTACAGTGTGGAAACAGGCCCTTTAGCCCAACAAGTCCACACTGACCCTCAGAGCATCTCACCCAGACCCATCCCCCTATAACCCACCCAATCTACACATCACTGAACACTACAGGCAATTTAGCATAGACAATCCACCTAACCTGCACATCTTTGGACTGTGGGAGGAAACCAGAGCACCCAGAGGAAACCCACACAGTCACCCGAGGGTAGGATTGAACCTAGGTCCCTGGTGCTGTTAGGCAGCAGTGCTAACCACTGAGCCACTGTGTTTTTTTTTAGTGACTTTGAAAGAGGGATAAATATTTTACATGAGGACAAATGGAAGTATTACAGTGCAGTGGATAGCATCTGCCCCTGAGCCAGAACCTCTGGTTCAAGGAAGGTGTGCTTGCCCTGCAAACAAAGAGGTTGAGTCTCAATCTGCAAATCCATCACCAAGACCTGGTAATGCCAGGTGGTAAGGGCAGGAGAGATTCCTGATCAGCCTTTGTGATGGTAAAAACATTGGA